GCACGTTTCGTATTATCGACATTTTTTATCCGAAATAAAATATCGACAAATTATTTATTTTCGTAAATGCTATTGAGCTCTTTTATATTCGTAATTTATTGTAACGAAATAGTACAGTATTTTACTGTTATGATATATTAAGAGAGCGAAACTTGACACGCGATATATATTTAAATTATCGCCATGATATTGTGCACGGTAAATTTATTTCTTTGACTATTTTTGTTGCCTTTTTGTTTAAATGTTTGTTTAATAATGCAAATTTGTTTTGACCATTGGAAAATTAGTAGATTTTAGTGATGATGTTTACTAGAATTTATTATTTTAAACTTAGAATTCTCATCAAATGTAATGTAATTCAAAATATCGGAGAAATTTGCCCTGAAATATCAAATATAGGTACTATAAAATAAAGAAGACTATGGGCTACTATAATAGTAGGTATAGAGCTGAAAAACAGATCGAATTATCACTATCTATTATAACTTGTTTCGTTTCTCTTTTGTCTGACTTCAGAAAACTGATGTTTAAATTTTCAGTTGCCGTTTTGTTCATCATGTCTTTTTGTACTATATTGTGCGCTTCAAAATATAAAATAATGTACTATGTATTATAACATTTTATATTCATAACTAATTCTTACACGCGACTTTGCACACGTGGTATCGTGTTGTTTCTTTAACTTGAAATTGTCATAATAATTTTTTTGCAGATATTTATGTTATAAAATAAACCTATGTTCCAAATTTCGGACTTTTACACTTAGTAGTGTAGAAGTCCGAAATATATCCGTTGTGTGTTTATAATCAGTCAAGGCAGATGACTTTTTTAGTATAAATTATTTTTTAAAGTCGGTAAAATCCAAGTATCGATTTACTTAAAAAAAAATCATTCCAGGTTAACAGTTTCACATCACTAACGCTAGAGACGTCATTATGCATGAAAACAAGTTTTGAGACCAAGTTTCATGAATATCGTATCGAAATTTATTCGCAACAAACTACTGCATTGTGTCCATGTTTTTTCAAGTATGACCTATTTATTTCGAACTACCGTTTTTCGCGACCTTGTTTTTGTGTAATGTACCAGCATGCCCGTTATTTGTGACATTTATTTTGCTGGAGAAACAAAACGAGGGTTTCGTACTTAAAACTTCAGTGGTATATGTTGTTTTCTACCGACTTCAAAAAGAAGGCGGTTCTTAAAACGGTTCCAATTTGTTGTTTGTTGCCTCAACTCCGTCAATTATAAATTGATTCGAAAATTCTTTTTTTTTATCTAAAAAGATTTACTTACAGATAAACAGATACCCATAGAAATTTTATTAAAATAGGTTGAGCAATTTAGTTTTTAAATCAAAGTATTGGTTTTCTTATAATTGAAATTGTTTTTTTTTTGTGGACCATAATTTTAAATTATTACTAATTCAACTGCTATTATAAATGTGAAAGTTTGTAAAGATAAATTAATGTTTGTTAGTCTCTCGTACAAAAAACTGTAAAATAATTTTGAATGAAATTTAGTACTAGGTTATACTTAGACATCAAAAAATAGCGGGACACCTGGAAAAGACAAGCGCAGAACCGCATTAAGTGGCGAACTCAAGGGGAGGTCTATGCTGGACAGCAAGACAATCTTCACGTACTGGTCGCGGTGTCAAATAATTAATTAAATTATTATCATCATCATCATTATCATCATCATAACATCAGCCGTGAACTGTCTACTGCTATACATAGGTCTTTCTCGCAAAGGGGGCTCGTAACTGAGACACTTGTTAAAGTAGTGTACCCACTGTTATATACAATACAGAATACACGAAGGAAAATTTTTTTTATACAACTTAGAATGGCAGTCAAACTGACGGCCCACCTGATGGGAAGTGGTACCCGTCGCCTATAGACATAAGCAGTACTATGGACATAACAGAGTATACTGTTTCGCCCATGATACCCCCCCCCCCCCCCATGCGTTGCCATTCCTGAGGACTCGGATGTTATTCCTCTGTACCCTGTAAATTCACGTCATATCTCACCCTTCAAACCGAAACACAGCCATGCAAACACAACTGCTTCACGGTAGAAACACGAATGGAACAGAGGTACCCAAGCAATCGACTTTTGTACAAAGTCTCCCTCTGGTGGCTTTTGGCAACCCTATACGAACTAAACATTGTTTAAACCATCACAACACTTGCACGATATATTGTGTCGCAGAACAAGAATGGCGGAAACAAGCGCCATTGTGTGCTATATCACTGTTCCACTTTTGAACATAGAGCTATACCTCTGGAAATCAATTTGTCAAGAATGTCCTGTTAATTACCCGCTAACTCTTACCCGTGACTTTGTCTGCGTAAGCGAAATATGTCTATTAACCGGAATAAGAAGCAGCCTATACTTTTCCTTATACTAAATTTAAATTCAGTATGTTTTACGCCATGTGCTCTTGGTATAGAATGGGCCACGTCACTTTACCTGGGTGTCGTAAGAGGCGATCAAGGGAACTTGATGGTTGAGAGATGGGCATCAGCGTCCCTCTTTAAACATTATCAAAACCTAACTGTCGTTGTCAACGCGCTTACCAAGCGTGGCAACTACTAGCAAAACTCCCTTAATGGAAGAGGCCTATATCCAGCAGTAAACAGATAACGAGTAATACTGATACTGATGTATTTCTTAGAAATCACCATGAATGTTAGTGAGATCCATTTGTTTCACGACTTTTGGAATTTTTTTTTAGCACTATATAGGTGAACCATTTTCACCAAAAAATTTATGTATATATTATAAAATAAATTATATAAAAATGAAGTAAGGCAAAATAAAAATATGATGTCCATAATACCATTCATGTCTACAGGCGACGGTTACTACTATTCATCAGGTGGGCCGCCATCTTGTTTGTCATTTCATGTTTCATAAAAAAAAACCATTTAAATGAAATTCTATTTCAAATAATCTTGGTATTAGATTTCAAATAGACTTGTAAACCAAGCAATCAATCAATCGTAATCAAGCAATCGTAATATTTTCATAAATGCAGGGTTCGGAAAGTTGTTATTTGTTGAGAAGAGTCCGCGAGAAACTTAACAGTTACTGTAAAAACTCTATTAACATCATGTGTATTTATTTCAATGTATTATTTCTAAAATTACAAGATCGTTAATAGGCTTCGTTCAATAAGTGTTTTTAATACCAGAGGGAGACTTTGTACAAAAGTCGATTGCTTGAGTACCTCTGTCGCATTCGTGTTTCTACCGTAAAACAGCTGTGTTTGCATGGCTGTGTTTCGGTTTGAAGGGTGGGATATGGCGTGAATTTACTGGGTACAGAGGAATAACACTTAAGTCCTCACGAATGGCAACGCATGGGAGGTATCATGGGCGAAACAGTATACTCTGTTATGTCCATGGTACTACTCATGTCTATAGGCGACGGTTACCACTTTCCATCAGCTTGTTTGCCATTCTAAGTTGTATAAAAAAATAGCAGTTTTAAATTTAGTAATAGGTAGATCCAAAATAAATAAATGGCTGAATACAAATGTATAGATGTGAAAAAAACAACTCCTTATACGCGCACAAAAGAATGGGACAGAAATTCATAACGCGTCAAGTTATTGCGAACTAGGTTTCCGCCAAATATTTGTGTTGCTCTGGCCCCAAACGATTGTTTACGTTGCCCATTGTCTGAGGCAAATCAAACACTCCCCGCTATTGCTCTGTGCCGGATATTTGATATTACATTGAAATTACAGAGTATTTAATATCCGATGCTGGATATTGTGTCGTTTACTGAAACAATTAGTTATAGGAGACAGAGTCTTGTTATTGACAGATTGGACGAGAGCTATTTGAGAAATAAATTGCAATTCAAATGTTATTGGGACTTGAAAGTACTTAGGATTTAATTCTTGAGATTTATTCAAATAATATATTGCACTCTTGTATATCTTAACACTGTTAAATATAAAGTCAATATTATCGTCGCTTTATAGAGTCGTTTAAAAAAAATATCGTACGGCTGTTCTCGTTTGGCTTGACTGATGATTTCTTTTATCCATAATTTTCGTCATCTTTAGCATTGCATACAGTACTACTGATGTCATGACATGATACTTGATTATCATCAGAAGCAGATATAAGAGAGATCATTTGATTGGATATTTTTTTTTTAATTTTGATATGAGTGTATTATTATTACTAACACTATTTTCGTTATTTCATGCGTTCAGTGGATCATTCAGTGGATGAGGTCTCGAGTTTTTTAGGCCAATTTAGGAAATAAAGTTTTTAAATTTTTGATAAGATAGAGTACTTTATAGGGGGGCTTGGCGATTAATGCAGATATACCTATTTCGGATACAGGGTGCGCGATCAACGTAACAGAATTTTATAATACATATATACACTTTTTTTGGACAGTTATAAAGACAGTTATTATTTCAGCGGCTAAAAACTGTACCGTCTCTTTGCAAGAAAGTTTCTAGCCGTCTTTGTTAACTCCCTCAAGAAACCAATCATTTATCACTCGTTTAGCTTACTAGCTGAAGGGTGATAAAGGATTTTCTTTTCATAAATTTCTTTATGCACATTTATTTTTATCGATTTTTCTTTTTACAAGAAAGATTTAAATTGTCTTAATTTCACACATTCATATGAGTTAAATTCGAATTAAATCTTGCTTTAATTAATTTTGAAGATTTATTACCGTATTTGATTAAAAAGTATGAATATTTTTTATTTTGATTTTAAAAACTGAGATAATTCTTAGATTGTGTACTTGTACTAATTCTCTGTCACAGGTTTAAATTAAGAACAAGATTGAAATTTCAATTATATCTTTTTAATACTGGCCACTTATGTGAACAAGAAATAATAAAAACAATTCTAAATTTGAAATTATGGGGAGGTGCGCGATATCGCGGAGTCGCCTGTTCGAAGGTCAGAGGTCGCTGCAGATAGCGGCCATTTGCAATTCAAGCAGACGTCGAGTGGCGTTGATATGATGGCAGCAATGCGATCATTTCTGTCAATTCCTTGCGGCCTCGAAAATTTTAATTGGTCTACTTCAACCCACTTCTAGTCTAATAGTCTGTCTCGTAGAAAGGTACTAAAAAGTCTTTAATCTGTGGTCTGTCTGTTCTTAATTGATATGTGTAAATCGGGTTTAATGGAGACGTAACACAGCGGTTATTTAATAACAATCCAAATAACAAGCCAAAATCCAGTTCTAGTTCTTTTATGGTGAGTGTTCTTTTTTATGAAAATCGGGATTGAAAACATCATCATTATCGTACTAGTTGTTAACTGTCTATTGCTAAACATAGACCTTCTCTTATTGGCCTGTAGTTGTTATGCTTGACAGGTGGGTTACCAACTGCAGTTAGGCTTTGGTTTTATTAAAATAGGGACGCTGCTGCCCATCCCTCGACTCTTAAGTTCCTTTAGTCGCCTCTTACGACATCCACGGGAATGGAAGAGGTAGCCCATTGTATTCCGGGACCACACGGAAATTTAGATGTCATGCCTTCATATAATTGACAATGACCATGCAGGCATAGCTGCTGCGTCAGAAACACCACTAGGACAGAGGTATTAATGCGGATAAGTTTTGTACTAAGTTTCCATTTGACTCCTCTCTCTTTTATGGAGTAGGCAGAAAGAAATATGCTCTAACGACCAATCTTTCATAACATCACATACTCTTTACGTAATCCCTGTTTCCTGGATGTAAGCCAATTGTAAACATCTCATCCCTACCCCAGAAAGTACAGTACAGTCTATCTGATCGCAGACTTTCTTATAAAGTGGCTCGTATAAACATGTCTTACATAATTGGCCGAAGATAGGCCTGCCAAATGCGGTAGCACGCCTATGCCAAGTGCAGCTTAATCTGCACGTGTCATCTGTTCAAGTTGGATAATATAGGTCACCGAGATAAAATCTCTATTAAGGTACTGCAGCATTTTTCTTGGAAACTTCGTTAATTTTTTACCTAAAGAAAAACATTTCGTGATACTTACCTTCTTATTATATGTGTTAACATTTATGAGTTAATCTTGTATGTATGTATATATACATACTTATACATTTTACAACAATTACTTGTAAACCTTCTGATGAGTTACTATGCTTAAATCTAATATTTAATAGTGGCATTTTCTTTTTTGGTATGTTTGAAAATGGAATGGTGACATTGTAAAAAGACAATATTTCAAAATAGATATAGAAATAACAATAGAATGACATTATTGAGTAAACGAACAAATAAAAATGAACTTATTTATTCGAGATGAATAATAGTGGCATAGCTATTTAATTAAGACGGGTAATGTAAACATAATGCTATGTATAGGAAGATCGACTTTATCCATTCATGATTAAAATTGGATATAATTTTTTTTTTAAATAAAATAATTGTAGTTAAATTTATAATTGTAACATTAAACCTTACTTGTAAAATATAAGAATTTCGTGAAGATAATTTCGATAGCGACAAATGAAAATACAACAATGTAGTTTGTTTTTTGCTTGATTATCATATTTTTTTTATTTGTACAATACTAGCTTTTAACCGTGACTTTGTCCGCTTGACCGGAATACGTTTACTGACCGAGATAAAAAGTAATCTATATCCTTCCTTATCTCATATTGTAGGTGTACACTTAATGTCATAGCGATTGGACCAGTCGTCAAGGCGATAAAAAAAACAAACTCACTTTCACATAATAATAGTAACGTTGTTTTTTTTTTTCATTTAATTCATCGATTTTTTTACCGAATACGGGTACCAATACTAGTCGAGCATTTTAGACAAAACGGATGTAAATCCAGTTATTAGTACAATTTTTTTTATGCAATTTAGAATGGCAAACAAACTGACGGCCCACCTGATGGAAAGTGGTAACCGTCGCCTATAGACATGAGCAGTACCATGGACATAATAGAGTATACTGTTTCGCCCATGATACCCCCCCATGCGTTGCCTTTTCTGAGAACTCAGGTGTTATTCCTCTGTACCCAGTAAATTCACGCCATATCCCATCCTTTAATATACACGAGTATTAAAAATTCAGATCAAATAGTACAGCACTTTGCAGAGTCTAACACGAGATATTACCCTGGCTCAGTAGTTGCCAAACTTGGTATAGGGGATGGCAACTGTATTTGCGCTTTTGGTGATGTTTTAAGAGGGACGCTGCTGCCCTTCCCTGGCCCATTAATTATCCTTAGTCACTTTCTATGCTAAGACCATACGATGCTAATTCAAGCCTTATTGAGTAAATCATTTATTATTAATTTTTTTTATTTGCATTCTATTTTTATTTTTTTTTATAATAAATCCGTTGGCAAGAATAAACCGGGAATAAATATATTTATCCAGATATTATTTTGGTCGTGAGAGAGAAGTCACTTATAATTAACAACGTCAAATAGGGCACGACACTGGGTTAGGTCTGTGACTTAGCTTGTTGCCGGGTTGTGTGGTGAATTATACGGATTAGGCAGAAAACAATAATTTGCGCGCATTTTCTTTAATTTAAAAAGCTTTCGCATATTTTTTCAAATACTAGTTTTTACACGCGACTTTGTCCGCGTGACAGGGATACGAGTATATTGATTGACCGAAATAAAAAGTATTATTCACTTGTCTTTGTATATTTTTATTTATGGTGCAATAAAGAGTTAAATAAATAAATAAATATTACATAATAGTACATATTATTCTAACTGTCGTTGCCAACCCGCCTGCTAAGCTTGGCAACTACTGGGTCTACTCCGCAATGGTAAAGACATCTATGGGGGAGGCTTATCTGTAGCAGTGGACAGTTAACGGCTGATATGATGACGATGCCATTGATTAAACGTTATATTATATTACCAGAGAGTGATTTTGTACAAAAGTCGTTTGCTTGGACACCTCTGTCCCATTCGTGTTTCAACCGTGAAGCAGTTGTGTTTGCATGGCTGTGTTTCGGTTTGAAGGGTGGGATATGGCTGTGAATTTACAGGGTATAGAGAAATAACACCCGAGTCCTAGGAAATGGCAACGCATGGGGGGTATCATGGGCGAAACAGTATACTCTGTTATGTCCATGGTACTGCTCATGTCTATAGGCAACGATTACTACTTTTCATCAAGTGGGCCGTCAGCTTAAGTTGCATAAAAAAAATAAGTTTTTTTAAGTTTTTTATTGGTTTAAGCTGGTGGGATAACAGTGGGGATAATAGGTGAAAATGAAGTTAGGTTTCTTTAATAGGCGATACGGAGTGATAACCTCGCCTGCGCTATCGGTATACGCTGTCGTGGCACCCGTGAGGTTCATAGTGATGAATTCATAAAGATTTTATCAAGATGGTCCAGGGGGAATTCCGTGGAGGTTGTCCTGATAGGGTATTAATAATGCGGCTCTTAGAGTCCCATTACTAACAATCCCTTTCCTCCAATTAATTTAGGCTCGTTGGTCCATTATGAGAAATTTACTAGAAATTAACCATTATGGTTAATTTATTATAATTTTTTTTAATGGATAATAAGGGAATGGTTACCGCGCTTGCGCTAACGATATATGCTGGCGAGGATGGTAGGTGACGCTGTGGGGGATGATAGGTTAGAATGAAAGGCCAGGTCAGTTAGACCATTGCGATTAATATACCTGGAATTCAGCACGATGGTTTCCAGGGGAACTACGGGGGTTGATCTGACAGGGTGTATCGCTAGCAATGGCACTGTTAGTCCGCGTTATTAACAATGCCTTGCTCCCCCGATAATAGTTACGGACAGGAGTGCCACAGTACCAACTCCTTCCGTTAGATCGTATTCAATGTCAGGCGGCTCGAATTATTGATAGTCAACGCCTTATTGTCCGACTTGACCCACTGAAACTGAAACGCAGAGATGTTGCGTCTCTGTGTATCTTCTACCGAATTTATCATGGAGAGTGTTCTGAGGAATTGTTCGGAATGATACCTGCTGCTGATTTTCATCACTGTACAATCCGCCACAAACTAAAGTTTCATCCCAACCATCTGGACAAGTGGCGGTCTTCCACCGTGCGTTTTTCAAGGCACTTTCTTCCATGCACAACCATTCTTTGGAATCAACATCCAGCAGCAGTATTTCCGAACCGATAAGACAACATAACCTTCAAGAAAAGAGTATATTCCTTTTTAAAAGGCCGGCAGCACACCTGAAATGCCGCTGGTGATCATGGGCAGCGGTAGTCACTTACCATCAGGTGAGCTGCATGCTCGTTTACCCCCTGTGTTATATATATATATATATATATAAAATATAAATAATAAAAATGTATATATATATATATATATATATATATATATATATATAAATTATAGTTTATATCTATTACTAGTAATCTCTTCCACCATTCAAATGATTGTATGATAGGTTAGGAGAAATCATGTCAGTTGGTTCATATTAGTGAATTTATATATTAATCCCTGGGGATTAACTACAATTATTTTCAGAACAATCTCTTAGGGTATTTATAACAATTACCTTCACCCACGTGTACTTAACTGAAAAACAGGAACCGAATGAATTTACTATATTTATCATTTGCGACAATTGTTACGACTTTATCCGGAAGTCTTTATGTTGAATGAGCAGCACTCATTCACTACTTTGTTTATGTTAAATTCAAACGTCTGAGATCCGGGACTTATGTGAGAAATACTTGGAAATTAATTGAAATTGTTTTGCGCCCACCTAACGAACAATCGATCTGAATTCATTTGAAATGGTATAAATAGTCTAAAAACAGAAATAGAAGTCTCGAAATAGCGCTGTTGGAGATTGGTTCACGGATTTAGAACAAAGTTTAGTTGTTCCTGTATCACCATTTTGACCTTCTCTTGAAGTAGATATATAGATACTCTTTATTGTTTCCCTTAAAAAATTACAGTAGTAAACTTATTATAAATACAAACAATTACAAGGAAAGATTACACTGGGAAAACAAACAAAGTACTTAACTATTATGATCATTTGAAGAGTTATAAAGTTTTTTAAGTGATTTGGTGCGTGAATGGCAAACAAGCTGACGGCCCACCTGATGGAAAGTGGTAACCGTCGCCTATAGACATGAGTGGTACCATGGACATAACAGAGTATACTGTTTCGCTCATGATAACCCCCATGCGTTGCCATTTCTGAGGACTCGGGTGTTATCCTCTGTACCCAGTAAATTCACGCCATATCCCACCCTTCAAACCAAAACACAGCCATGCAAACACAACTGCTTCACGGTTGAAACACGAATGGGACAGAGGTACCCAAGCAATCGACTTTTGTACAAAGTCTCCCTTTGGTAATTGTATTACGTTTATAACTGTAACTTCATTTAAAGTTTAGCAAGTACATTTTGGACTTAAAATTTTTTTAATCATATATACGTATATACACATATAAATGAACGAAAAAAAAAATAACTTATGCCATTCGTGATTATGTAAGTATTACAATATTAATTTGAAAAAAATCGAAACAGCACAGGTATTGTGGTTATGGTGAAATGAAGATACATACATACACACATGAACTTTAAAAACGTTACGCTCCTTGCTATTAATATATTTAATCAAGACGTCGGTAAGTAAATGAACAATGAACTCAATTTCACACTTATGGAATTAGTGATAATAACTCTTGCAGTAGTGTATTAACTGTTTTTTTTTATATTTTTTTAATTAATTTAGAATTTAAGCTAAAAAAAGGTCATTTCATCACTTGAATAATTAAAAAAGACGTTTGACTTTTTTTTGTAGCTACATAACGCGATTGACGTGTGGTACTGGCATAGAATAGACCATCCGTTCCTTTCCTCCGAGTGTCGTAAAAATCAATTATAAAAAACTTCAATTATTTAAATATATTTATTGGACGTTTTTATAAATAAGGGAAAAGAGACCCTGCGTCATATAGTGAATAAGGATAATGATTAAAAATCACAAATTTTGACGAGAGAACCCGGTGCTGCAATTTTTAATAAAGGCGACCTCCTAAAGTGGGTCGTGTAATTTTATTACAGCTTGTAGAGGTCAACGATATCACAGGCTATATCTCATTTATTGAAATCCATCCGGTAATATAAAAGTTACGATAATATCGAGAGTAATACTAAAAATATGCCCCGGTTTCGCATGTTTTTTGTTAAACCAATATAGGTCACGATACTTGTTGGTAATGTGGTTTTTTTATAGGTGTAGATACAAATTTTAAAATCCGTTAAGCATTTTTTGACAGTATTCTTTATAAACAAAATATATATATATATATATATATATATATATATATATATATATATATATATATATATATATATATATATATATATATATATATATATATATATATATATATATATATAATATTTAATTAGATCCCATTACTAACAATCGTATGTTGTATGTATACTTCTGGCATAGAATTGGCCACTTCCTCCTTTCCCATGGATGTTGTAAGAGCCGACTAAGGAAATTTAATGGTCGAGGCGGCATTTCTTTTAAAACATTACTAAAGCCCAACCGCAGTTGCCAAAGCGCCTGCCAAGTGGGCAACTACTGGAAAACTCCCCACTTTTGATCTATATTTAGCAGTATAGCAATTAATGGCTGATATGATGGTTAACCATCAGTTTCTATTCAGTCACAGGCATTTGTCAATGGTTGCCGTTGCAAATGTAATTCTCGACATATCCAAATTCGCCGAGCATACCTAATTATAATCCAATGGGGGAGGGAACTAGCAACCTCATTGCTATATACCCTACCAGGTCTACCGTTTCACGGTCCCTCCTCAAAAACCGTTGTATTTAATCCAAGCGAATTCATCACGCCTTTTCATTCTCACCTATCATATCACATACCTGCACTAACAATATACTTTGGCGATATTACCATTCCTTTAAAATCTTAAAAATAAATAAAAATGGAATCTAACGTGGTGAGCTTAGTGACGTCATTAGAATATATTTGCATTGTTATCGGTGTTTTCTATCACTGAAGAGTTAAAATTTTAATTGAAATTGATACCCAAAGACTTTTGTTGGCGACCAATTTTGAATGGACAACCGTCTGCAAGTTGAATGTCATAGGTTATGGCTCGAGAGAGAAGTTCTTAATTTGCCCATATTTTTTATTTTTATGTACATATATTTTACGCAATACGAGTATTTATACCTGTTCAGTAAATGATTTTGATTCTTCTTTGACTAATTTAATTAACTCTCGTATTGATTGCTTATTTGTTTTGTTCCATTTCTTTTTAAATTTTAAAGTGTTCCTTCTAAGAAATTAGAAAAAGCTATAATTTTTTCGTGTTTTCTAGGAACTTTTTTTTTATCTTTGAATTGTCATCATCTATTAACTAAAAATGTTATCTATCTGCCATATTTTTCTATAAAGTACATTAACGATCGCTCAAGTGATGTCCCCGAGTCCATTGTGCGTTTCTGTGATGAATTGCCGGTTTGTTTTGAAGGCACAATTTATTGAGTTTTGTTGGCAAACTAATTTGTCATTGGCTATAAGCGTTAGACGCTTGAAAAGGTTATTTGGTGATGTTGATAGTACTATCTTTTTTATTCTAGAATAGAGAAATGGTTACAATAATTGTTTTTTTTTTAATGGATGAAAATGAAATGGTAACCGCGCCCGCGCTATCGGTATACACCGACGAGGCACCATTAATGATGATAGGTGATGATAATGAATGCAGGTCAGTTGGCCTACCATGATAAATTCTTGGGGGGAAAGGGATTGTTAGTAATGAAGACAGAATTCCATTGCTAGCACCCAACCAGGTCGACCGCCTCGCGGTTCTCCCTGGAAACTATCATGGTTAATTCCTGATGGATTCATCATGATGGGCTAACTGGCCTGTTTTCATTCTCATCTATCACCCTTCATTGGTGCTCCGCCAGCGTATCCCGTTAGCGCAGGCGGGGTTACCATACCATTTGTACCCATAAAAAAAAATCATGATGAATTCGACAAGAATTAACCGTGATGGTTTCCAGGGGGAAACGGGCGTGGAGGTCAACCTTATTGGTATTAGTGTATTGCTAGCAATGGTTAAGTTAGACCACATTACTAACAATCCCTTTCCCCCTTACAATGTCTGTTAGATATCATTAAGACAATTATTGAGATTGATTTGACGTAAAGATAATTTAACAACTTATCAACATTCTCATATCAGCCCTTGACTGTCCACTGCTGAACATAGGCCTCCCACATAAGGGGTACTTTGAGTTTAAGTTGCCATGCTTGGTAGGTGGGTTGGAAAACGCTGTTAGGTTTTGGTCCCTTACTAAGAGGGACATTGCTGCTCATCCTTCAATTATTATTAAGTTCCTTTAGTCGCTTCTTACGACACCCACTGGAAAGGAAGGGACGACACATTCTATGCCGGGACCACACATCTATCAATTTATATATGCATTTAATTTATTTTTAGAAAGAAAGATGGAATTTATTTACAGAATCATGCGACTCACACAGTAGCATGATTCTGTAAATAAATTAGTAGTAAAAAAAAACTAAGTATAACAATACAATTAAACAAACAAAAATAAAAGATAACAATAATAATAGGTCCGTGCTTATTATATTGCTGCAGCGTTAGAACCATGGCGTCTGGTAGAGTTATAGTATGTAGTGTATTGATGTTCTGCACGATAACATCACAGACATAAAGAAATCAATCAATAATCAAATTTTATATGTATATGTATGTATAAATACAGTAAAAATACAGTTATTACAAATAATGTGAGCAAAGGTGAACTTATTTATAAAAGAGAATGCTAATTTAAAGGTATAAATACAATGGTATCACAAATTAGAGGTTTCGTATATAATGTAAGCATTTATTATAGGTAATGGGGTTTGGGTAAAAAGATTCTTTCCCATTCAGATTGTAATTATTGTAATCCTTTCTGTATTTAATTTATAAAATATAATAAGATTTTTAATCTTGCATAATTAGATATATATGAAATCAAAACCTTAACCGAATTATTTAGTGACAATAATGTGTAATAATAGTTCTTAATTATTTTTTTAAATTAATTGTAAATAGGCACCTATTTCCGTTTTTGTTGTTTGTGTTGGATATACGTCTTGTTTTATTTATAAATAAAAATTAATACACCATATATTCTTTCTCTTGGAAGATTTCTATCAAAATATTTATTTCATTTTTAAATTGATTTTGTTGGATCAATGCACCGCCATTTACTCTCTCCGTTTAGCTTTACGGTTGACTGGTAGAGAATGCCATTCAGGTTTTGGGTCCGCCCTGTAGACATATTTGAATGTGTGCAAAAGTATAAATCAATATTTATTTATCTCTCCCCCCAAACATGTTTATACACTATATACAATACAGTCACTGAATAGAGCTCAGTCGACTTTATCAATATTTTATTATTGTTCACTTTTAATAGAATTTCTAAATCTCTTATTTCAGGTGGTGATTGTGGGAGCGGGTGTAGCGGCGGTATGCGCGTGGTGTTGGTGGCACTGACGGCGCTCACAGCGCGTGCGCTGGCCAGCCCGCACGAGCATAGAGCGAGGCACCATGCCCCAGAACACCCCCTTCATTTTCCCGCGCCTGCCCCGCCCCAGCCTTACCGAGGACATGGCGAGGCCGTCCGCTATAATCCCGATTTAGACACTATTCTTCCACGTATAGATGAGCACGAGACCTCATCAAAACGCGCTAAATTTGAAGACGCTGAAACCTCTTCCAAAAGAGCGAAGTATGACGAGAGGTTTTACTCTAATCACGAACGGGCCGAAGATGAAGAATTTATGGCAGATGAACCCCAGTTTGGACCAGACGACGATGATCCATTGGTGGTCCGAACGAGGAAAGGGAGGGTCCGAGGTATGACGCTTACAGCGGCCACGGGTAAGAAGGTAGACGCCTGGTTTGGCATCCCTTATGCTCAGAAACCAATCGGTGATTTAAGATTCAGACATCCGAGACCCGTAGAAAGTTGGGGGGATGAAATTTTGAATACTACGACTCAACCACATTCTTGCGTCCAAATTGTAGATACAGTATTTGGAGATTTCCCCGGGGCGATGATGTGGAACCCCAATACGGATATGCAAGAAGACTGTCTCTATATAAATATCGTAACACCAAAACCACGCCCTAAAAATGCAGCTGTCATGCTTTGGATCTTTGGTGGTGGATTTTATTCAGGAACAGTTACTTTAGATGTCTATGATCCTAAAATTTTGGTTTCTGAAGAGAAGATTATTTATGTATCAATGCAATATAGGGTTGCGTCACTTGGATTCTTATTTTTTGATACTCCAGATGTACCGGGAAATGCTGGGATATTTGACCAACTTATGGCCTTGCAATGGGTCAAAGACAACATAGCGTATTTTGGTGGTAATCCTCATAATATTACATTATTTGGTGAATCTGCTGGTGCCGTTTCAGTGTCTTTACATTTACTATCCCCTCTTTCTAGAAATTTATTTTCTCAAGCGATTATGCAGTCGGGGGCTGCTTTGGTACCATGGGCTATAATATCAAGAGAAGAGAGTATTATACGTGGTATTCGATTAGCTGAAGCTGTTCATTGTCCGCATTCTAGATCTGATTTAGGTCCGATGATTGATTGTTTACGAAGGAAAAGTGCTGACGAATTAGTTAATAATGAATGGGGGACTTTAGGTATTAGTGACTTTCCATTTGTTCCTGTGATCGACGGGTCTTTCTTAGATGAGATGCCTAAACGTTCACTTGCTCAGAAAAATTTCAAAAAGACGAACATTCTTATGGGTTCAAATACTGAGGAAGGATATTATTTTATACTGTATTATCTCACAGAACTATTTCCTAAAGAGGAAAATGTAGGAATAACTAGAGAACAGTATATTCAAGCTGTACGAGAATTAAATCCTTATGCAGGTGATATTGGAAGGCAGGCTATAATATATGAATATACAGATTGGTTAAATCCTGATGACCCTGTGAAAAATCGAAATGCTCTAGACAAAATGGTGGGAGATTATCATTACACATGTGGTGTGAATGAATTTGCTCATCGGTATGCTGAGACCGGTAATAATGTTTACACATATTACTTCAGACATCGAAGTAAGAACAATCCGTGGCCATCTTGGACAGGTGTGATGCACGGGGATGAGATAAATTATGTATTTGGTGAGCCTTTGAATCCTGGAAAGAATTATTCTCCAGAAGAAGTTGAGTTTAGCAAACGTTTAATGAGATATTGGGCTAATTTCGCTAGAACTGGGTAAGTAAGAGTTTTATATTTACTTATATTTATTAATAGTTGTAACAGCAGCAAATTTTATAGTCTTAAAACGTAACAAAATTTTGTTGATACTATCCTACTACAGAATCTAATTACTTGTTCTTGATATTTATATAACCTAAATTAACTTAGCAAATTAGTAATTAAAAAAATAAATAACAATCTATAAATTTAAATCTTCAATCATTTAATCAATTTTTTTTTTTTTATATTATTGGACATTAGCAGACTGTCCTATGGGCAAGTTAATTATTTATTTGTTTACATTTTCATTAAATTCTATTATAAAGGTTATATAAGGTTTTTTAAATTGATGCACTAAATAAGTCTAGTGCGATCTTCTAGTTTTGCATAAACAATTTAGGTTATCAACGTTATTTTCATCTATTCTGGCATAGCAAGTACCATAAATATTATGTAAACAGCACCGTGGATATCACAGAATATATGGCGATGGTGCCCAGTAATTTACTGATTTTCAAATCAAAAAACAAACTAGCAAACATTGCTGTTTCGCGATAGAAAAACGAGAGATACTCAGAAGACAATTTTACTTTATTACTCATATATTTATAGAAAAAAATGCAATGTTTCAGAAATCCATCTATGAATCCTAACGGCGAGATGACTAAGATCCACTGGCCTCTCCACACATCGTTAGGTAGAGAATACCTGACGCTGGCGGTGAACTCGAGTGAAGTTGGCCATGGTCTACGAGTGAAGCAGTGTGTTTTCTGGCAAAAGTATTTGCCTCAACTAATGTCGGCTATAAGTGAGTAGAACTCTTTGAAGTTGCAGTTAGCAGTTGCAGCTTAGTAATCATCTATTCTATAGTTTACTAGAGTAGCTTGGGATAAATTACTATAGTTTATATAGTACTGAGAAAAACAAAAAGAAAAAAAAGTGTCATCATTGCGTACTAGCTGATGGGATACTATCTTTGCTGGTTATACGAAGTACAAGCCAGGATAGCAAGGTGGGGCTTTACTACTAGGTTTTACATAACTACTCCAATTTCATTCTCAAGTTTATTAGCTTTCTCATGAGCTTTCAAGAGCAAGAATGCAGTTAGTTCTGTATACACAAAGTCATCTGGTCGGTTCGAAAAACTAGTCACGTGTATCTCTATCTTGTTGTTTGAATTATATCATAGGTATTTATTATATCTGTAATACTATTGAGGTCATCGTCCATGTCCCATAACTATGGTAGATTATTCTACAGGATGTTTACTTATACGAGGTTTTTAATATAACTATTGTTATAATAAAATTTGAAAACTATTTAAGAAAAAATGATATGAGTGGCTTTAATAATAATAGTAGTAGAAATTTTGTTTGTCTTCCTGTCTGAATGTTTGTTTAGATATTGTGCAAAAATACTGCACAGGATTGGATGCGGTTTTCACATTTCTGTTCCTGAAGGTCTAATTTAAAATTTGGTGTTTATGTTTTATCTTAATATGACAATTAGAATTGGTCCATTTCATTAACTTTTCTACTATTAAAATAGATTTAGCGAGCAGAAAGCTATCACAAATAAGGGCTCTTATTTAGAATATAATTGATAATACGAGGTCTGTCCGGAAAGTTCGTATAAAAGTGTTCTGGAATGCGAGAAAGAGGAGTGGGGAGGCCAGGTAAGCGCAGGACCCCTTCCTTATGTCCCTAACAATCAGTTCTGGTCTGACCGCCGTGCGGTGCGAACTGGCTTGTCACGCCATCTGTGAAGTTACCTCTTAACGAAACCCCGTCGGCATGGAGCCCGCTTCCGTTGAAGAGCAGCGCGTCGTAATCAAGTTTCTCTCGAAACTCGGCAAGAATGGCCGTGAAATTTTTGCCGATCTCAGAACAGTTTATGGGGATGATGCTGTGAAGGAACCAACCGTCCACAAGTGGCTAAAAAGATTCAGAGAGGGCCGAGACAATGTTGATTGTTTTTTTCGATGTTCGGGGGATTGTCCATCAAGAATTCGTCCCTCCAGGCCAGACAGTTGATGGAAAATTCTACGTCGATGTGCTCAGACGCCTCAAAGCTCGTGTGGCACGAGTTCGTCCAGAATTGGCGCGAGAGGGGCGTTGGATTCTTCACCACGACAATGCCCCTGCCCACACCTCTCTTGTTGTCCGTGAGTTTTTGAGTAAAAATTCCATTACGGTGACCGAACACCCCCCCTATTCGCCGGATTTGGCCCCGTGTGACTTCTTCTTGTTCCCAAAAACCAAATTGGTACTTCGGGGGCGGCATTTGGGGGACATAAATGAGATAAAAAAAGCTACGACGGGGCAGCTGAGAAACCTACAACCAGAGGACTTTCAAGGAGCCTTCTCACAGTGGAAACGGCGTTGGCACAAGTGCATTATGTCACAGGGGGAGTACTTTGAAGGGGATAAAATTGATTTACCTGAATAATTGTAAAATAAAATTTTTAAAAAACTTTTATACGTACTTTCCGGACAAACCTCGTACACGAATTTAAAACGTGACTAAAGCTGACATATATAATGACAAAATGAATTTATTACTATTTTTCAGATAAGCCACAGCCTAAGGAGAACTGCACCAGTAGCGCAACCTCAAACTGGCTTTCATGTAACCTTCTTGGCATTTATTTAGTCACCACGTATGGTTTTGCGCAAACCACAATGTTCAAATACCATTTTATATGAAGATTGTTTGACGTAGTGACCTATTCCAACATGAGCCTTCTCATCATCTCATTGAGTTTCATTTGCTTTGTCGAAAACTGACTTTAACTCGTCAAAAACATTTTTGTATTATATATTATAAATAATGTGTGTATATTTTGCCGTCTTATGAATCTCTGGGATATTTTATTAAGTATTAACTTATTTTTATAATATGTAAAGTTATAGAAAGTATATTTTAATTATAAGCCACCTCAAGTGTTACATTGCGCTACGTGGATCGAGATTTCAATACCGATTTATCTTGTATTATTACACTAAAGGAGGCCAATTGATAAAGATGGTAATTAATATCTCTTTTCGCAAAGATATTAAAAAAAATGTATATTTTTTATTAACATTTTAGTATTAAAAAATCTAGTTTCGAATTTGTTAATTTCCATTAATTGTCACCTTTAACAACTATAATACATGTATATATATTTGAATTTCATTTGATAGTAGAAACAGGATTTGTTTTTGCTAATATCTAAAATAATATACATGGATAAATCTTTATTGAAATAGCGATTCTAAGTCCATTAAATATTCTAGTAAAATGTCGCTATTAAGTTCCATAAATAAATAAGTAATGTAAAGCTATTGTTTATGATTTAATGTTACAATCTATCTTAAAAGGAGTGATTTCTCCATCAACATATCACTTGTTAATAACAAATTATAGAATTACGTAGCCGTAATTTTGTCATAGATAATAAGCCTCTACATATCTTTCGAGATTAGGTTAAGTATATGAAAAAAACTTCTGCCAGGAATGAGTGATGTTGTGTAAAAATGTAAACTGTCTTCTAGAACCTAAACTCTTAAAGGGACGAGGTTGCTCTGCGCGTGTTTCGAAAAGTTGAAAAGGCGTAAGGGGGAGATAAAATGTTAGCTTTAATACGCCTCTATTGCAATACATATCACGCAAGGCATAGAATTGTTTAAGTTCATTCTAGCCTTAGATTAAGTTAAGTGAATAAGCTAGATCATTTCACAACTCAGTAGCGGACCAATATTAGAAAGTTGTACATGTAATAATGGTTCGTGTATATTGACAGATTCGAGGATATCGTAGACGAGCATAGGGGTCGGAACTAATAATGGAGTAACTCTAAATTGTATGAAATATAAAATAAAAATGATGAAATGAATGTGCCTGCACTTGAAGTTTGTCGTAACGATGATACAGAACATGTTAAATCTGGAAATGATAAACAAAACGATATGAATCAACGAGAATGTAAGGGCATTGATTGTGGCGTGATTTGTACAGTTGTTAGTATACTGAATGTGTTAGAACTTACAAAATTAGTACCTTAACGTTTAGGGTTGATACATCTAGATTAGAGTTCGTAGTGCCCAGCGGTTCAGCTTTCAAATATTGGTATAAACAATTTAATAGATGAATCTTTACAATTCGAGATTTAAGATAATAAATTACTAGTACAATACTATAAGTTTAATGAATAAACTCTTGCAACTGCTGCATTATAGATAATGAATATTATTTCGTTGTTGTAAATAATGTATGAATGTTAGTGATCGTAGAAACTTGTATGGCCCAAAGTATTTTGTTGGATTTATTTTTTAATCTTTAAGGGCAGGTCGAACGGGTGCCTATATGGTAATATGTATCGATTATAATCTGTTGTGAAAGACGATACCTTATGAGATAGTAAGTGCTAATCGTAAAGTTACTAGATCTTTTGGGCTTACGTTAATTTTGTTTTATAATTAGGCGAAGTGTATACAAATTCGAAATGTGTATTTGTATGGGCTGTGTATTCTTAATTCGCTGATGTTAGTACCTAATTGTATAATATCTAGTGTCAGTAATCATGTTCTAGTTCACGTTTGATGTTTCACGGACTACGCTTATTTAAAACCTGCGTATGTAAACCTATAGAGTGCCTCTTGTTCACTTTTATATATATTGATATGATATTACACTGTAACATAGGAGATATTAGTAGTTGTAGTGATGCGTTCCTTCTCGACATATCTGCACTATTTCTTTTATTATTATTATGTGATAAATGATGGCCAACGAAATTGCGTAGTGCCAAAGTAAGATGTTGAGATAATACAATTTTTAACACCGGCTGATATGGCGTAATTTTGACGATGTTAGATAATGGAAAATTAAATGTGTTGATTGTCCTCTAGAAAAATCTGAAAATGTTTTAGACTGGACGAGCAAATGTGCTTTTTGCATCTGTGATACAAAAAGTGTGTTCTGCGACAGAAAGAATAACTTTATCCATACTCAACGATTCAAGTTTTGGATAATTAATTGTTTTTAATAACATTATTAGGGTTTGTATTGCTAGTTGCCTTATATATATGGTATGTTTGTTTTTGCATATTTTCATTTGCATATTAATAAAACATATGACAGTCAAAGAACTAGTTATTTTAGTTTAAAAGAATTATTTTGATACAATTTATTATATGATTACAATAATTTGAATTAATAGTATTAATGAATAATATTACTTTTGATTTTCGAAAAATATCGTCGAAATTATCTATTGGCATTACCATCGCTAATAATAACTTCCGAAATTTATAATAATCTTCCTATAATAATTTTAATATTAAATCTACTTATGAACAAAATATTGAAATACCAAACTTTATTGTAATGATATTAAAGTTATTCTTACATGAACTGTCAATAATTTAGGTTTAGGATATTGTAAAGTAAATCGGCACCTAAGATGAAGTACTATGACTAATGTTGCATGTCAAGCCATAAACATGTCGAAAAAGACAAGTATAGAATAAAACACTTAATAAACCATGATTCACGAGAGTATAACTACATATTATTAATATTTACGTACTTGACACAGTTAATGAAGGCTTTACGATTTCTTCCAATATTGATAATTAATTTAAAACAGCACTAATGTCCTTTCTTTTCCTGATATAATAACATTTAATTAATTTAAAGAAGACTTTTTCATAAGTTATTCAAAATTAAATTATCATAGAAGCTATTCAATTGCAAGCAGAATTTTGGAAAGATTTTGAAAAAGTTACGTGAACGATTTATGTGTTGGTTGTAAATTTGAAAATATCGTCATAGTCGTAGAATACTGATGGATCTTTATATGTATTATTCGTCAGATCCGTCAGTATTCTACGACTATGACGATATATTTATATTCTTACTTGGTAAATGTTTAAAATTTGTGTATTATAGTATAATGTGAACCAATATGTTTGACTTAAGTAATCTAATTTTATTAGATACCTTATATTTAACATATTGGATCAACAGCCCATCTTATAGTTTCTATCAATTTTTTGATGCTTTTAAACTATAGATATCTTTAACATGGGCTTTTCTTATTAAGTTTGTCTATACATATTTTCAATCGATTTCAAAAAGAAGGAAATTACTAATAACTTCATCAGTTTTAAACCGATTTGGAAAATTCTTTTTTTATCTGAAGGGACTTACACTAAGCCCTTAAACTTACAGATTAGTCCCATAAAAATTTTAACAAAATCAATTCTGTAGTTTAGTTTTTATATCAAAATAACTGATTTTATCACAATTAAAGTCGGTTTTTTTATGTAGGACATAATGTTTAATTATAGATGAATCCATAGTTATAATTATTATTCGTATTGAACAATATTATTGGTATATTAATAATCGCTCACAGAACTTTTTCATAATCCGTCCCATATTTTTTTTTATCAAATTAAATAAATCAAATTGGACACAGTGAAGATTACGGTTTTGTTTCGTAACATTTATTTTGCATAGATGCCAAATTATAATTATGTAGAAAGTGTTAAAAATACGAAACAGAAGAACGGTACATGTGGTGCAACTGAAAGGTATCAGTTTTAGAACGGAAAAGAGTATATGTTAAATAAATAAGTTATTCACAGCAAAAGCGACGCCAGGACAATAAAAATGTTTCCAAATATTTGCACAACAGATTCGGATCCGCTTTCACGTCAGCTATCGTAGTTATAATTAAATGTTGTAAATCTCACAAAATGTTATATTAAAACATTGGTTAATTCTTTAACTCGTAAGAGTCGAGTGTAAGTTCTCAATGATGTTCTTGGACGATGGGGTTTGTGTATTCTCTTTAATTTCCAAAATTTTTAATACAACACCATCTACGAGTATATCTGTTAAAAGGATATAGCCGTAGTAGCCAGGTTTTGGCAAAGTTGGTAATCTAGTTCTCTGAGGTAATGTACTATTTAACTTTTTCTTTCTTTTTGTTTTTTTTTTTTTCATTCTTTATGGTGCATTAATACAATCATGGACGCTGTTAATGGACTTATAACTTTCTTGTGCGTAATTTAGAGTACTAATTAGGAATGAAAATATGGATACTGATCCGATATCTATATATTGGGTTTCTCTGGAAATTGATAATGGAAAAAAGGTCATCACCTATATTGATATCGCCCATATCGGTCGGATATCTATTTTCGAATATGTTAAAAGTTTCTTATCCAATATAATTTTTTGGATAACAGACTTTTAATATGTTAACATGTAATAATAAATTATTGGACCAGTATATGGATATTGCAATTAAAATATTGTTTTATATTACCCACTCCTAATACTAATTGCATATTGCTTTTAAAGTTTTGAATTATGAATTAGATTTTTTAGAATCAGGAGGAAGTTAAGTGAGAACTTTATTCTGCTATTATGATTGAATGGAAGAATACTAATTCAGATGGAAGTTACGAATGTATGATATTATTTACAAAATTTTATTATTCATTATTAATTATTACAATGGTACGAATGTAGATAATTTATAATATTTTAGTATTTAATTTATATATTTCTTTGTATTTGATATTTTTTTTTATACAAAAGATAAGATTATTTTCCAAGAATCACTAGTCCAGTTACCTAATGCTGCAGGAAACGTAGGCACAATAGATAAAAAATATGTTAATGATTAAAACAATATGAAATACTTACCTACAATTATAAAACAATAAAATTGTTGTACAACGAGGTATTTAGAGATATAATTTATCATATTAAATAATCGACGTGATTCTGATATCACGGGTTTTTATGATAGCGATGGTCATTGTTCAATATAACGTTTTGTGAGCATTTCAGTTTGGGTGTTGGGAAGAAATCGGTTATATTAATAAACACAAATCTTTTGGCTTTGTCTCTGCTTGGCTATAATAATGTAATTGTATATTACAAGGGCCTAAGTCTAAGGGCACACCGTAAGGCCTATGAGTATTGCCGCGTGTTATTTTAAGTCAAGTTATCCTTTTAAATTCTAATAGTAATGTTTCAAGTAAGTTATTAATAATATTATTAGTGCTATGATTGCATTATTGAATGTTTGCAACGTTTGTGTTTAATTATAAAAATAAATGCTTGTATATAAAAACACTCTGTTTTTTTTTTTATAAAATTACTAGCTGACTCGGTAAACGTTGTTTTACCATATACATTATTTCTAGAACTATACATGAAAATATATCGTACTACAATTATTATATTCGATTGTCATCTTGCAACCATATTGCGGCATATAAAAATTGCGATTAAACGACAGGGGTTGCTCGTAAAAGCGTGAACATTTTAATTTGTATGTATTTTTCAATGCTAAATCATAATGAAATAAAAATAAAATAAATTGTAAAAAAAATAAAAAAAATATTTATATCATTGAGGGGTTGATATAAGCCGATTTTCAGACCTACCTAATATGCACACAAAATTTCATAAAAATCTGTAAAGCCGTTTCGGAGGAGTTTGGTAACAAACACCACGACACGAGAATTTTATATATTAGATTATATCATACGATCAGGCTCATGTGTGGTTTAACTCTCTACTGCTGAATATAGGCTTCCCTTATAAATGGTGGTTTTGCCAGTAGTTGACACGCTTAGGAGGCGGGTTGGCAACCGTAGTTAGGCTTTGGTGATGTTTTAAGAGGGAGGACTCCCCATCTCTCGACCATTAAGCTCCCTTAGTCGCCTCTTACGACACCGTGGGTTTGGGTGAAAGGAAAGGTGTGGCCCATTCTATGCTAGGACCATTCGGCGAAAACAGAAATACATGTTAAACAAATATGTGTACTATATCGACCGAGAAAATAAATAATAGGTTCTAAATTCTTCTAGGTTCGGATTTAGTGATGAATTTGTAGAAATGTAGAGATGTGTGCTTGATGATATTTATATATATAAATTCAGAAGGAGTGAAAGAAAGAAAGATTCAGTACGAGATTGTATAATTAATAATATTTACAGTAAATAAATTCAGATAAAATAAGTCGCGATACAAAATATATTTCAGTAAAATTTGCTAAGACAAGGAGATTGTCAAGAACGTCACTATTTCTTTTTCTGTAACTATGTAGGTTTGAAAGTGGTTGGTAGCCTACAAATTCTTCTTCTTCTTCTTCAAATCCTCGTAGCTGGAGAACGTGATTAACAAACCGCACGATTTTGTGCTTTGTGGATGTACTCTTGCCTGTTGAATTGTATCCATCCATCTTGTTGGTGCTCGACCTCTACTCTTCTTTCCTTTCATACAACCGCTCAAGATTACCCTTTCTGACTAGAAACTGTGATGAATGATAGTTGCTAAATTAAGAATATTTTATTAGAAAGATAATCCAGCATCAATACCACGAATATAAAGAAGGGAAGGCATCAACATAGTAATGTTTATGGCAGTACTATCTGTTTTCCGCAGCTTTGAGTGCGTGAATTAATATTCTTTGTATTAAGTGTAGAAAGAAAGAAAGAAACAATTAATTCATAGAATCATGCGACTCACACAGTAGCATTAATAAAAAAAAAACTAAGTATAAATTTAAAAACCAAAACAAAAATAAACGACAAAAAAACATAATGATAATAAGTGTGTGTACTCGTGTGCGTGTGTGTATCGCAATGTTCTGTGTAATAGGTCTGTGCTCAACTATATTATCTGTGGCTCAACATATTGCTGCAGGGTTTGATTTATGTAGTAAATTGTAGTATGATAACGTATGTGTTTGATCTATGTAGAGTATGTATAGTGATGAATATATGTGATGTATGTGTAGTGTATGGTGTGTAGTATGATTGAATAATAAAGAAATATCTGCATAAACTGTATTAGTAGGATTTTTATTTAGTATTTTATAAAGTATAATTGATGTTTATATTTTTAGTAGGATTAATGAGGCGTTTACTTATATACCCCATATCAACATCATATTTTATCTCTGATAAAACAGCGTCTAATGTTGATATTATCATTTGCTTGAACCGGAAACGCAGGGATTTAATGACTATTTTTTTTTTTTTTATTTATATTTACTTAGAAATTGTTATATAAACATGACGATCCTAATGTTATTGAATCTTATTGTAAACAAAAGAAAAAGAACTTTCATGTGTGTTTACGTTATCACTATCAACTTCCTGTTATTATACCATTCTTATCTTATTCTTATACTAGCGACCCGCCCCGGCTTCGCGCGAGTACTTATTACATCACGTCACATTAGAAACCTCTAAATTTATCAGTGTTTACAATATTATGCATGTATTATACATATAAACTTTCCTCTTGAATCACTCTATCTATTAAAAAAAAAAAACACTTTAAAATCCGTTGCGTAGTTTTAAAGATTTAAGCATACATAGGGACTGACAGACAGCGACAACGACTTGTAGTGACTATGTAGTGATAATTACGTTTGGTGTCAGCGTAATACGTTTTCCTCTTCCATTCATCTGTATTATTAGTTATTACTGCATTCATTTTACTTTGGCCATGTCATCTTTCACACAGTCCATACGTGTCGTTTTAAGACTTTTTTACCGTTGTAGTTATTCAAATTCATGCTTAATTCTTTTTTTAAAACATGTTCATCTCAGTGCACCACGTATTCATGTTAAGACAGGAGATTACTTCTTAACTTAGTCTTACAAAAAGGTATAAAGTCTTTGAACTGAGTTCGACTCTAAACCAACAAAATATTGTAGGATATTGTTTAAATATATCTACGAGTATAACGGGAAATTTTATGAATTTGTTACAGCATAGGTCGCATGAAGACGAAACTTGTCAAAACACGAAACGAAACATGAATTTTCGGAAACGATAGAAATAATAAGTTCATAAAATTTTCTTTTATATATGTATTTAAGTCAAAGGTATTTATTATCAAAATATACTTGTATAAAATATTATTGATTTTTATACTAAGCTAAGCCTGTCCTGTAGGAAACGGGATTCGTATTACGTTATTTACTTTCAAGTCAGATCCCTCAGTTCAGGTACATTTTACTAGAGGGAGACTTTGTAAAAATGACGTATGAATGTGTACATCTCTCCTACTCATGTTTTTGTTACGAAGCGTGTTTGTTTCTGACGTCTGAAAGTAGAAATATCTACGTCTTCTTTAAGAAGCCAGGCTCAATTAGCCCAGAAAAATTATTTTGAATCCGCTAATGAATATCGGCCTGATCGTTTCTCTGATAACTCTTCAGGTGAATATCCATTCAGAATGTTATGGTTGTAAAGTTTGACCTTCGTCATTGTCGTATCTAATGTACGATATGTCGGACGCAATGTCCGATTTAACATATAATAACATGTATATATTTTATTTATCAAATCTTGGTAAAGAGTTAACGTATAATGTAAGTTATTATAATTAATATAAGTGTATCAGCTCTAGTAGATTAGATAAGGTTGCTTTATATGTACATACCCATAGTCTTTGGATAAGCTGTTATGATATTTAATGGTTTTTTTACAAACAAAATAATAGCAAAGATGAAATAGAAAGTTGATGCAATGCTATGCTATGGAATAAAGTGGTAACCGTCGCCTATAGACATGAGCAGTACCATGAACATAACAGAGTATACTGTTTCGTCCATGATACCCCCCATGCGTTGCCATTACTGAGGACTCATGTGTTATTCCTCTGTACTTAGTAAATTCACGCCATATCCCACCCTTCGACGACCCTTCGAAGCAATCGACTTTTGTACAAAGTTTCCCTCTTGTTCGTAAGCATATATTTTTTCATTATACTTTAAAAACTTCGTATATTTACAGTAGTTTGAGCATTTGTAAAGAATTTGGTATATCATATTAATGATATCATTAGATACTCGTATTTCACGCAAAATATTAATAATTTTAATCCAAACGATGATAAAACTTTGATAAATACAATATTGTGAAAGAGGATTAATTGTTGGCGACTAATTGATAATATGAGTATCCGTCGAATATGATGAATAATAGACATATTTAATTTAGAGACCTCCAACGAAGGTTTTTTTTTGATGGGTGAAAATAGTAGGGTAACCCCGCCTGCGCTAACGGGATACGCCGGCGGAGCACCAGTGAAGGGTTACAGATGAGAATGAAAAGAGGCCAGTTAGCCCATCATGATGAATTCATCAGGAATTAACCATGATAGTTTCCAGGGGAAACCGCGAGGAGGTCGAGCTGGTTAGGTATATTGCTAGCAATAGGATTCTCAGTCTTCATTACTAACAATCCCTTTCTCCCCTCCAACGAAGGTTAGGTATTAACCTGTTATATTTTTTATAAGTATCGCATCCGGTAAAGATTGTTTCGCTCCCTACCGCAACCTACCGGGACGATTTCTTCTTATTAGCGATAAAAACAACGCTATCCCTCAAGTTCTAGTAAATGATATATATTTATAAAATTTCACTATTTGGTTGAGCGGTTTCGAAGGTATTAATAAATATTGTCACACGGGATTTTTACATATTAAAATAGAGAATCCTCATCATATCAGCCGTTAATTCTCCATTGCTAAACTATGTTCAGCAGTGGAGAATTATGGCTTGACTATGGTTTGCAATCGTAGTTGGCCTTTGGTGATGTTTCAAGAGGGACGCTGCTGCCCATTCATCGACTATTAAATTTCCTTTGTCTTTACTTATAACATCTATGTAAAAGGAAGGATTCTACATTCTATACCGAGAAGGTAGAGAATCTTACATATGATGAAATCGATGTCATTAGCATCCGACATAGCCTGAAGGATAAAAAAGCTAAAGTGGCAAAGAGCTAGTCACATAGCTCGATAAACTGACAATTGTTCGAATATACCAGAGGGAGACTTTGTACAAAAGTCGACTGCTTGGGTACCTTTGTCTCATTCGTGTTTCAACCGTGAAGGAGTTGTGTTTGCATGGCTGTGTTTCGGTTTGAAGGGTGGGATATGGTGTGAATTTACAGGGTACAGAGGAATAACATCTGAGTTCTCAGGATTTGCAACATATGGGGGGTGTCATGGGCGAAACAGTGTACTCTATTGTGTCCATGGTGCTGCTCGTGTCTATGGGCGACGGTTACCACTTTGCATCGGTTGGGCCGTCGTCTTGTTTGCCATTCTAAGTTGTATAAAAAAAAAAGAATACAAAGGTTATTAAGTGGCGACCCCGTATAAGCAAACGAACGGGGACGATTAGACAGAGCGATGACCTCACTATTGTTTGTAGTCATAATCCAAAGATATTAAAAATGGCGTTTTAAGGCTTCTTAAGGGTTGGCAATGCGCGCGTGACATCCCTGGTGTTAGAGGTGTCTAAAGGCTACGGTAATCCTGATTACCATCACACTGGCCGTATTTTGTTTGTCATCATAGTAATATAAAAAAATGTTGTTTTCCATTTTTTTTAAAAAGATTCATAAAGATATTTTAAGTGCTCAAACGCTTTTTTTTCTTTCGATCCACGACCGACCAAGGACCATCATTTACGCCAAGGATTACTCTATATATAGATAATACATCCGACAGAAATTTAATGAATAAAATATTTTTCAATTGATAGACTATCAGTTACGTAAAGTAATTAATATGATATTAAGACTAGCTGTTTCCGCGACTTCGCCTGCGCCATAGTTGAAATTTAGGTACTAATTTCATGACATAATGCCATAATGACAGAAATGACATATATAAATAAATAAATATGTGTTTATCAATTTATATACCTCGATGTGTAAGGTTATTCATAGAGAATTTATCTTCTTTTACCATTCATTGTTAATAAAATAAATAAATGAAATGAAACCATATAACGTGATTTTCTAATAATGAAAAATATAAATTAAAAAAATAACCTGAATTTTCGCGACTTTTTACTGTTTGCTATGGAGTCTACTCCAAACAGCCATACATTAGTTTTTTAAGTTTTTTCTTATACAATTTAGAATGGCAAACGAGCTGGCGGCCCACCTGATGGAAAGAGGTAAACGTCTATAGACATGAACAGTACCATGGACATAATAGAGTATACTATTTCGCCTATGATACCCCTCATTCGTTGTAATGCTTGAGAACTAAGGTATTATGCCTGTATCCTGTAAATTCACTGCCATATTGCACCCTTCAAATCGATTTCCTATTGTGATTATTTCTTGTAATTGTTTATATTTATAATAAGTTTACTATTGTAATCTTTTGGAGGAAGCAATAAATATCTATCTATCTACCTAAGCAAACGACTTTTGTACAAATTCTCCCTCTGCTATAAAGACGTTTTAATTAAGAACTTTTGTTTGTTCCCGTATGTAATAAATAGATAGATGGATATAATTTTTAAATATATCCGAATTAATTTCCTTTGGTCTATTTTTAATTTAAAAAATATCAATATACATATTTTTCCACTGTCATAAATTCTATTATCACATAGATAATCCTTATTAGACATTTGTGTTAATCCTATGGATTAATTTGTTTTCGTTTTATATCTGATTATTGAAATCCGTATATAAAGTGCTGTGCTCATATAATTAACAATAATAAGTCGTTTGATTCGGTTTTTAGCTTAATGTGATAAGGCTGGAATTGGATTAATATTACAAATTATATTAATAATATAAAATTGTGAAGGTTTGTGAATAAATTTCTTATTTAATTATATTTAAACATATTAACTAACGATTACCACGTGTGACAATTTTTATTCTAATTTATACTGGAAAGTTCGTGAGTTAAATGCTTTTTTTTTATATCGACAAGCGCAAGTTTTAAATGGTTACATTGAACTTGTCTATATAAATAAAAATCAATTATCGAATGTATTTGTACGTGAACGCATCACTTCGGTACGGCTGCATTTGTTTGGTTAATTCTTCTATGGTTGTATTTACAATTGCCAGGGCAAAGTTTGTATGAAAGACTATGTTTGTAATACTTTCTGTATTGAAGATAATTTATGTAGTGAATAGTTTTAGTTTAATAATTTTCATATAAAAAGTGATCGAGCGAGTGAGACTGAAGACGGTAACTGTAAAGGGATGACTTGGTCTCATTTTTTTCCATGTGATGCCAGGGCCGGCAGCTAGTTTAAAATAAATCTTAAATTTTAAGTACAATTCGATAATGAGAGACTAATAGACAAAAACAAATTACGATGTATATATTTTTATACTATATAAATACTTAAGACTGTTTAATCATTTTAAATATGGACTCGATGATTAATGATTGTAAATCTAACAAACTTTAATTAGTTAATCATTCGTAGATTTAGAACCGTTTCTAAATGGAGCCGTCCTTTTAGACAAGTGGCGAGTGAATTCATCGATGGAAATGTAATCGCTTATACATCGCTTCGCAACGTAATAGTTTATGAGAAAGAATGAGATAGCAACGTTCGGTGTCTTATTCTATCTCGTGGACTCGCTAGCAACGACGTTTCCATGGTTTCGCACGCTGAGGGTCTGCGACGAAATCGAAATTATATCGAATAGATTAGATAGATCAAATAGAGATTTCCTATCATTTGATTTCGAATCGATTACGACAAACGATTTGAAATCAAATCATCTCAAAACGTTCGAAAAATTGTTGTGACGTGAACGAAACCACTTGCAAAACCTAGTGTATATGTAGAACAGTGAAATAATTTTTTATGTATATTTTTCAGCTTCGAAGATGAAACTCCTTGTTGCTTTTGCCATTTTACTGGTCGGTGCCAATGCCAATATTCTGCGGAGTCCGAGTAAGTACTATTTATTTACTATATATAATAATATAAGTACTACTAATTTACTATATACTTTGGATAATATATGCTATGAAAAGGTTTTTTTAATTTATCATAGTTTATTTCCAGCTTTAATTTTTAAAAATTATTAGTAGATGCTTTCACGACCCTCGTTAACTCATAAGACTCACTCTGAGATGTCCGTTGTCTGGTTGTTTCAGGTAACGAAGAACATGTCTCGGAAGACATCAAAAAGCAATATTCTTTCTCGGAACTCTCAACAGAACAATTAGGTAAGGTTTGATGTAATTTCGAATGGATATTTACATGTAAGGATTAATAATATAGTGTCGTTTCAATACATTTTAATTAGAATAAAAACAAAAGAACTGGCCTGACCAAAACACACGCTGCTGATGTACCACAATCGACAATTAAAATAAAAAAAACACTAAGTAACACAAAAATCGAATGTCGAAATTTGTCACTAATTTCATTTCGGCAGTGTATTATTAGTGTGCCATAATCACAACAAAATTTGGTTACCTTTTCATAAAGCTCAATCAATTGTTGCATACCAATTACTACATATAGCTTTCTTTAATCTGTATTTCCTATTACCAATTTTGATCCGATTTTTATAATTTTTTGGCATACGATATGATATATTTTTATCATGTGGTCTCAGCAAAGAATGGGCTACCATTTCTTTTTCGGTGTTGTGTGTATTGTTTGTTTTGTAGTGGGTATAGATTTACTGCTGTAAGATCGCAACTATTATATTCACTTAATGTTTTTTTAATAAAAACAGTTATTATCGCAGTTCAAGGACACCAACGATACCAGGGGTATCACCAATGCGTTACTGGACTTTGAAAGGTATAAATTAACTTGTTTCTTTTATTACTTCTGTAGGTCAACTGATGTTACAACACCTGGATGATTCTCGTTTTGTTGATATAATAGTTGTTGAAATTATCCAAAGAATAAGGGAACAGATTGTTGAGGCCGGACTGGATCCTTTGGAAAAGGATAGATTGGAACTTGAATACACACTGCCAGTTACTGAGTGAGTACATATGTGTAATAAAGTATATTAGCCGAGTAGATTCCGGAATAGAATAGGTTTTTCCTTACTTTCCTGTGCATGTTATAACAGGCGACTAAGGGAACTTAATGGTCTAGGGATGGGCAAGCAGCGTACCTCTTAAAACATCTACAAAAGCCAAATTGCGGTTGCCAACCCAATCTCCTTTTATGGGGAAATCTATGTATGGGAAGCTATAAAGTCAAATGTTTCATTTGAGTATTTTCCAGTAGCTAGTAAGATATCTTATTAGCTAATGGATCCATTTCTTTTATTAAATTTCGGAATATTTGACAGGTTTTTCTTACGACACATTTTAAAAATAGAACTCTGATTTCTAAAAATTTTTTTTCATTGTGATAACTTTTTAAAATCGTATGTTTTATTTCCACAGCCTTTTAAATGTCAACACCTATGTGAATAATTTGGTATTGGCTGGTGCAAGTGACATCGTGATCAACAATATGGATTACAGTATTTTATTGACCAGACTTACTTTCGATATATCTCTGCCCAGGCTCTCAGCTAATATCGGTATGATATTTACAGTTTATGATTAATAATTAGTTTAAAAGGAAAGGTTCTTGAGTGGAGACCCCATACGGGAAGGGAAAGGGATTGTTAGTAATGTAGATTACCAGTCCCATTGCAACAAATACTCTGTCAGGTCGACCTTTCGTGCCCCTCCCCTAGAAACCACCGTATTCAATACCAGGTGTATTCATCACAATGGGCTAACTAACCTGTCTTCATTCTCACCCATCATCCCTCACTGGTGCCCCGCCAGCGTATATTGTTAGCGCAGGTAAGGTTACCATTACATTATCATCCATTAAAAAAAGACCCAGTACATGAAACTCAGTATAGTAAGACACCCTATTAGATGGAGTAACGATCTCAAATCAATTGCAGGGAGTCAGTGAATGCAGGTAGCTCAGGACCGCTCTTTATGGCAGTATATGGAGGAGGCCTATGTTCAGCTGTGAACGGATATTGGCTGAGATGATGATAAAGTTGAATTAGTTTAAACAATTTGATGTTAATTTAAGGTGAATACATAACAATTATGAACTATGTATTCGTAATTTCTCTTGTATTTTTGGTGTTCACGTAACATTTTAATTTCCAGGTAGCTCCGCCTTAGACGTAACCTTTTTTGGTGAATCTTTAACTACAGCCTTACGAGGATAGTAAGTATTGAATACTATCGATATTGGTAATCTACAATATATTATTTTACTCATATCTTTTTACTTTCTCTCTCTTTATTTAAGAGTTTCCTATTGTCGGCGTAAATAATTAATGCATTTTCTTCTAGCCAGCTATTCGTATAGGGAAGTCAAAGATATGGTTTGAGATAGCTCAAGCCATATCTTTGACTTCTCTATACGACATGACACCTAGTGTTTCTTTTATTTGTCTCATGTAGTTATTCCTCGGTCTTACCCTTCCTTTTTTGGCCTTTATTTTTTCTTTTTGCTTTGTTAGTTCTATATTTATTATTTTATCTAATAACTTATTTCTTTTTATAACATGGTGAAATCTATCATAGCCTATTAGTCCCGAAGGAATCTACTAGTTATTGCCGGAATTTTACGAGTTAATACTCGATGGGCTTTAAGTTTTTTATCTTCTTACCTACCTTCTACCTTCTTACTTACCTAAAATTCTTGAACTCCATAAACTCATGAATCGGATGAATATGAATGAAATGGATGAATATGGGGAGATCGAAAAAATGGTGGATGAACTGTCTGAAAGTTGATATGCGTTAAAGAGGAGTGAATGATAGTCCATTGCACCCGTACCAAAAATTGTTTAAAGGCAGATATGATAACACACGCCGCTGATACTCTACCTTGGTTCACCAACTTAATACAGAATGGGTGCTGCATAATAGAATAGGATCTCATATAAACTTGAGGAGTGTATTTACATTATTTGTTTTCCAATGCAAAGCGAATGAAGAGGAACTAGGAAAAAGTAGTGTACGGAATAGGAGGTCGTATGCAGGCCTTCACAGACTACACTGTGATACGTATTGTACCTCTCATGTATTGCCATGCCTGATATTATATCTTAGTAAACTGGGAATCTACCATAATATGAAATTCCAAATTTTCAGATTCAATTTTGTGTTTTCGTTCATATCAAAATCGGCCCAGTAAATGGGACTTAATATTTCATTCGTAATAACTCCTACCATAAAAGTCCAAAGGAATTATATTTTAACATTTTAAAACGGTACGTGTTACGTAATTATAACATCAAATTTGTATTTCGTTCTGTTATTTAATTTCGAAAAAGATTTTATGGTAGACCCTCCAAATGTGAATTTAAAAAAAGAAGTATTGTTCTTTGACAGGGAAGATATGTAATTTTATATGTGTGGTAATGTTAACAGTTCACGTAATCATATTTCACTACAGTAAGAAAGACTTACAAGTCTCTTACAGAGAGAAAGCAACTAACTAAAGCAATATTTACATTATTACAGTATCGCGATCGAAGATATTCGCGTACAGGGTAACGTTCGTTTTAGCATTGGCATCATCAGTGGTATCAGTCTCCACAGCCTTAACATCGACTTCACCCTAGGCGGTATTGAGGTAAATGTTTCACTCTGATCACATTTATTTTCAAGTAAAGTTTTAAATTAAAAAAGAAAAAGATTCATAATTCGGTCGTAATTTTTTATGTTTTTTACCTCATAAATCTGTCAGCCTAATGATAAGCAAGCTGAAGTGGCAATAGGCTGGTTACATAGTTCGAAAAACCGACAACCGAAGGAGAAGAAAGTTTCTTGATCTCGTATGGGCAAACGACTCCCCAATAGATGGAGTGACGACCTTAAATGAGGAAGGGAGTCAGTGGATGCAGGTGGCTCAGGACCGTTCCCTATGGTAGTCTATGGGGAAGACCTATGTCCAAAAGTGGACGGATAATGGATGAAATGATAATGAAATCTGTCAGTTACATATAACCGATTTAGATGAATATGTTTTTTTTCAACGTTTACTAATAGTTTGGTCCCATACAAATTTTATCAAAATCGTGTTATTAAAGTTCTTTTAGTTTTTAAATCAAAATGACCTGGTTTTGTTATAATTGAAATCAGTTTTTTTTTTTTATGGAACGCTATAGCGTTTCAAAAAAATTAATTTCAATTAGAGTTTAATTACCATATATATAATTAAACTCTAATCAAACTAATTCTATATATTGCAAATAAGATACTTTACATAGTCTATTAGGGCAGGTGTTGTTACCAAAAATTCGAACTATTTGTATATACCATACCAAAGGGAGATTTTGTACAAAAGTCGTTTGCTTGGGTACCTCTGTCCCATTCGTGTTTCTACCGTGAAGCAGTTGTGTTTGCATGACTGTGTTTCGGTTTGAAGGGTGGGACATGGCGTGAATTTACAGGGTACAGATGAATAACACCTGAGTCCTCAGGAATGGCAACGCATGGGGTGTATCATGGGCGAAACAGTATACTCTGTTATGTCCATGATACTGCTCATGTCTACAGGCGACGGTTTCCACTTTCCATCAGGTGGGTCGTCAGAATGTTTGCTATTCTAAGTTGTATAAAAAAAAAATAAAGAAAAAAGAATGGCGAACAAGCTGACGGCGTTCCCGATGAAAAATGGTAAGTGTACAAGCATGAACCGCATCATAGATATTACAGAGCGCTGTCATACCTATCGTACTCCTTATGCGTTGCCATTCTTGAGGACTAAGCCATTAATATATTTTGTTTAAAAAAAAAAAACAATAGCCGTGTTTATTGCCCGTTCAGTTTTTTTTTAGAAAAGGTAATAATAAAAAAGTAGGTTAATATTCTTTAGAACATACGTAATATTTATTGTTTTTTCCTTTTTTGTAGTCTCATCTCGATCTGGCAGTCCAGAATGTTAATTACTCGGAAATTCTCAACAACGTCCTAGGAGGTACAATTCCCAATGCAATCGCAGAAAACAGGGTAAGTTATTGTATACTAGCTATATACTGCAGATTTGCTGCTATGTTTTAAGTTAGGACAATGTATGTATCTATTGATGTACCAAATTTCATTGAAATTCATTCAGTAACTTTTACGTATAAGAGTAATAAGTATTCATCCACCACTTGAACTTGAAACTGAAAAAATTTCATCGCCAATTCTGAATCGATTTTCATGATAATATTTTGATGTATTTAATTTTGTGACAATTGGAACTACCAATTATTTTTTGGGAAAAAAACAATTCTACGAAACAAGTCGTATAATACACGAACGCACCGATAAACGTATTAATGCGTTCACGATTGAAGTCACTTGTTTTTTTAACCGACTACAAATAATTTGGGGGGTTTTTATTTCAGTTTTACTTCTATGGTTTCTTACCTTATAACTCCGTCATTTATAAACCGATTTAGAAAACTGTTTTTTTTTATCTGAAAGGATGTACTTTCAGATTGATTCTATAGAAATTTTATCAAAATCAGTTCTTTTTCATTTATAAATAAAAATTCATTTTAGATTATAAATAAAAATAACTAGTTTGTCATTACTAAAGTCTGTTTTACGGTAACACATACGATATAGAGGACTGTGATGTTATGTAGTAAGTTTTTTATTTTTAATAATTGTTTTTCCAATTTTTTTTTATAGGAAGAACTCAACGAGTTGTTGGAGTACATTGTTGCAAATGAAATTGACAAATTTTTGAGCAGCGACGACCAACCTGAAAATATCTGTTAAATAATTATTAATATGTTCTATGGTATATGTAATATTTTATACAGTTCATGATGTAATTAATACAAGTGTTACAAGTACCAGACGACAATGATGTTTTTAGAAATTGCCGGTTCTTTTTTTATAAATTACAGATTTTAAAAATTTATTACGTAAACATTTTAAATAATAACAATATGATAAACATAACGAGTTTGGAGAATTTACAGTAATACACAGATTTACCGTGAGTTGACTCTTGTCACTTTATATAAAATGATTGATATTTATTTTTTATATTTTGTATATTAAAGTATTTTATATGTGGAATTTAAAACGTGCAAATTAAATTGTATTTATTTAATTTTCTATAATAAAAATTTGATAAATATAAAATAATGTATCTAGAAATTTTTATTTACCCGTATTCAGTAAAGTTACATTAACAATTATTTGTAAAATCAAAAGAAATTATTGTAATAGGGCTAGTACTTTAATTGGATTTACACTTACAATATATTATGCGAAGAAAATAAATTAGATTGTTTTTTTTTATTCTATTGGATAATAATGGAATAGTAACTCCGCCCGCACAAACGGTAACTGGCTGGACACATACTAACGGTATATACTAAAGTGACAGGTGAGAGTGAAAAAGCAGGCCAATTAGCCTATCGAGATGAATACACCTGGGATTCAGCACGATGGGTTCCAGGGTGGACCACGTGGAGGTCGATCTGACAAAGACCTTACAATATAACCTATATTGCAAGCAATGTGACTGGTAGTCCGTATTACAAACAATCTCTTTCCCCCAAATTGCATTGTGTTTATTTTTGTTATATTAATTTGAAATAGATTTCAATTTTTTTTTAAATTGAATTTATTTTTAACATTTAGTTACCATACTTTATTTACCATATTTATTTACCATAATTTATCTATTCTTAGTTTATCTATTTACAGACAATCTTTACCATACCTACAAATTCGTACGTAAACCTTGGTATGAGTCCGACCCGCACTTTGGCACTTATTTTGTGCATGTTAAACTATACAAGGTTTTAAAGTTTGTAGTTTTATACGTGGCATATTTAGTAAATAACCTTGACACGTGTTTTAATAGAAATAGCGCAGAAAATAAACAAATAGACAAAATAAAACAGATTTTGTGTTAATTGAAGACTTTGTACAAAAGTCGTTTGCTTGAACACCTCTGTTCCATTCGTGTTTCTACCGTGAAGCAGTTGTGTTTGTATGGCTGTGTTTCGGTTTGATGGGTGAGGTATGGCAGTAAATTAACAGGATACAGAGGAATAACACCTGAGTCCTTAGGAATGGCAACGCATGGCGAAACAGTATACTCTGTTATGTCCATGGTACTGCTTATGTCTATAGGCGACGGTTACCACTTTCCATCAGGTGGGCCGTCAGCTTGTTTGCTATTCTAAGTTGTATAAAAAAAAACTTCTATAATCCACGTTTATGAAGTAGTGGACCAAAAGGTAGTCTAGATAAATAAAAATCAATATCGAACGTTAATAATTCTAACTAATTTTGTTTTTGTTGTGCTTGTAATTGTTAGAACAAGATTTGTACCGAAGAATATGTTTGAATAAAAATTATACCACCCACCTACCCCACCCATCCACCTATTGAATACCACCCACCTACTCCACCCATCCACCTATTGAATGCCACTCACCTACTCTACCTATCCACCTATTGAATACCACCCACTTACCCCACCCATCCACCTACCCCACCCATCTACCTATTGAATACCACCCACCTACTCCATCCATCCACCTATTGAATACCACCCACCTATCTCACCCATCCACCTATTGAATACCACCCACCTACTCCATCCATCCACCTATTGAATACCACCCACCTGCCCCACCCATCCACCTATTGAATTCCCTAAATCTAAACAAGTAGTCAAGTAGGCAGTCGTTTATCATATGTATATATGTATATTTTTATATGAAGATATTAATGTACAAATACTATATAAATGTTTACTTTATGAATGTTTGTTTGTATGTAATTTTAAACTCTGCAGATCTAAAGGTTGACTGGTAGAGAATGCCTATAGCATTGTCTGCCTTTTCTACCACATTTATTGGTTTATAAAGTTAAAATAAATAAATAAATAATTGTAAGGATAAAGTGAAAAATTTAAATTTATTAAAGAAATGAATTAGAAAGAAGACAGTTGGAAGATCTTCAATAATATTGACAGAATTGATACAATATCATTCATTACCAGAGGGTGACTTTGTACAAAAGTCGTTTGCTTGGGTACCTCTGTCCGATTCGTGTTCTACCGTGAAGCAGATGTGTTTGCATGACTGTGTTTCGGTTTGAAGGGTGGAATATGGCAATGAATTTAGAGGGTATAGAGGAATAACATCTGAGTCCTCAGGAATGACAACGCATGGGGGGTATTATAGGCGAAACAGTATACTCTGTTATGTCCATGGTACTGCTCATGTCTATAGGCGACGGTTACTTTTTTCCATCAGGCGGGCCGTCAGCTTGTTTGGTATTCTAAGTAGCATAAAAAAATAGATCAATTTCTTACTTTGTTGTAGCACTAGCTACTAACATGTCATGTAGTAGTCTCATTTTCTTCATTAGTACACCCGTGCGAAGCCAGGGCGGGTGGCTAGTTTTATATAAAAACTTACGTATATTTGCCAACGTACCTAAATGATAGATTATCAGTTACGTAAACCAATTAATACGATATCACAATAATCAACAGCATGCACATCTCTTTGATCATTGATGATTATTTTGCTTTAGTTTTATATCTGATTCAGATCAGTATATAAGTCGCCGTGGCCATTTTTGACATCAAAACCTAGTCTGGTTTGGTGTTTCGGTAAGATCATACTTTGTTTTTTTTTTCTATAACCGACCTCAAAAGTAAGGGGATTCTAAATTAGATTGTATTTTGTTATGTTTGTTACCTTAAAACTCCGTTAATTATAAACCGATTTGGAAAATTGTTTTTTTTTATCTGAAAGGTTATAGGACTAATCTATAAGATTAGTCCCATAGAAATTTTATTAAAATGATTTCAGTAATTTGATTTTGAACTCAAAATGATTTGTTTTGCCTCAATTGAAGTCGGTTCTTGTGTGTGAAACACAATTTTAATTATTGTACATTTGTAAATACATGTTTTAATTTATAAACATCGAGATATACGTATTTAGATTATAGTGTATATTTGCAGTGAAATTGCAGGGTACAGAGGCATAATACTGTAATTTTTCAGGCTTAATATATGGCGTCCCAGTATATTCTGTGTTGTTAATGGTGCTTTAATGTCTATAGGCGATGGTTAGTACTTTCTGTCAAGTTAGTCGTTACCTCGTTAGTCAATATTAATTACAAAAAATATGATGAATTTATTTTTAATTTTAATTTCATTATTTGACATCGGAAACAATTAGTAAACACAATTTATAATTAACTATTAAAAAAGGTATTACATTTTTTTTTATTAGTAGTCTTAAATATTATTTTGTTGTTCGCAATTCGCAAATTAATATGTAATTTTTTTGTATGTATATAACGTTATTTTTATATAATTATTTTAAAATATTTTTTATAAATATTTATATTTATATTTTGTATTAAGTTACGAAACTCGAAGGATCCTAATTTGACATTTAGTTTTTATTTATATTTTTATTTATTTACATTTCATTGCACCATTTACAAAAACAATACATACAATAAATAATGTGAAGTGATATAAAACTATTTATAGCTAAACAATCTGTTCCAGACAACCTTTGTGTAGAGAAATTGTTTTTATTGCGCATGTTATGTGAAATCTTCATATATTTTAAATTGATTTCAATAATAATGTTTCCAATTGATGAAATACACTTCTATGAGGGTTTCATTAATTTTTTCACGAAAACGACGATTTTACGTCATTTTTGTTTATACTGCGTTTAAATTTATCTTTAGCCCCTTTTAACTCTTTTTTTTATACCACTGAGGTGGCAAACAAGCATACGGCTCACTTAACGGTAAGTGGTTACCGTAGCCTATGAACATCTGTAATACCCGAGGTATTACGCGCTCGTTGCTGACCCTGAAGAAACCTCTTTACCCCCCTTTTGAAGACCACATGCTGTAGTCTCTTGGGAGAACCTCGGCAGGGAGCTCTCTTTTTTAGTCTTCGTATTTTTCTGTTACGCCTTGATTGACTCCAATTTTAATTATTTCTCTACATCCTAAGGTTGCCTTTACGAGATCGTTATTTAGGGATAAGGCAGCATATTGTTGCCTCATCATTTTCCTTTTATATGTAATTAACTTTATATAATTAAGTATTTATTTTGTTTGTGTACATATCATATTATTTTATGAAAGGAACAATAAAGAGTTTTCATTCATTCATTCATTCATTCATTTCTATACGAATATATATTTATTATATTTTTTAATTGATATTATATAAATATAAGTTTCATTATATATTTTCAGCATCTATCTTCCGAGATGAAATTCATAATTGCTCTGGCCGTTTTGCTGGTTGGCGCCAACGCCAATATTCTGCGTAGCCCAAGTAAGTATTTTAACACTTTAATAACCTAATACACTTATTGGCTTTCTCATTTCTCAATTAAATTTTGATAGAAACAGAATATATTTTACATTGAAGTTTTTTTCAAAATCGGTTAAGTAGTCTGTTTTTTTTTATAGGTTCTTTAATCTTTAATTATCTTAAATTTCAAATCTCAAAAGTACAGAATCACGATGCGTAATTTCAAAGTAACAATTTAAAGTATTAAATGGCTTTATATTGTAACTATGAAACTCTGGGGCGTTGAAGGGATAGTTAGTAATGTGGACCACCAGTCCCATTGTTAGCTATATGCGCATCGAATCGAATCAAATCAAATCGCATTAGGTCGAACTCCACGTGGTCCCTCCTGGAAACCATCATGTTGAATTCCTGGTGTATTCATCATGATGGGCTAACTTGCCTGTCTTTCTATTGTTACCTATCATCTCTCACTGGTGCCCCGCCAGCGTATACCGTTAGCGCAAACGGCGTTACCATTCCATTATTATTCATAAAATTAAAAACTATGAAACTCTCCACTATAGTATTGCTGGATGTTTATGTATTTATAAATTGGAAAGATTAGATAAGGTACAAATGTTAATGGTACATTTTTGTTTTTAAATAATCATTAACAAATTATCATTAGATTATTAGAAATAGTAATCATGATGACCTTGGACTTAATCTTGAAAAATGGCAACACATGCGGTGTACTAAGGGCATTTTAATGATTATATTATTATTACATTAATTCATAGAATATAATTAATTCATGGTACAGTTTATATCTATAAACACTTACTCCTTTTTATATAAGAGCCTGGCATTATATATATAATATAACCGTTTCAAGTTTTACAAAGTAATATAACAATTTTAAAACCAGTAAAAATGCGGTAGCAAGCACCAGTCTCTCACAAAATTGGTCTTCATATCAAATTGTACCTCAAGTTCCCAAATAAACCATTCATTCATTCACTAAAAAAAAAAATGCCCTTTTTAGTCGAAGTCTAAGTGAAAATTAGTTTTAATGTTTCATCACTATTTCGTTATATTATAATAGTGATCATCGTAGTTTAATCCTTATTAATATTATAAATGTGAAAGTGAGTTTGTTTGTTTGTTATCTTATAGGGTCTTAAGGGTTTAACTAACCAAATCACTATGAAATTTGGTATGCACGTACTATCTGGGATGGAGAAGGGAAGGGTATACATAGTCTACTTTTTGTCCAAGTTAGTAAACATATTCTGGGCACACGGATGTAGTTACAAATAACAGCTAGTTTATATTATAGATTTCATTATTTGATCTTTGACAGCTCGCAATGAATATGCCTCGAGCATCTCTGCGATACAATCTTTCTCGGACCTCTCACTATCAGCTAAGGAGTTAGGTGAGTGTATTTTAATGAACATCTACACGTTATAACTGGTTTTATTTTCATTACATTGGGATTAATTAATTAAAAACCTTTTATTTGTTTTGTATGTTGTATGCTTAGATTATATAGATAGAGCGTCGAGCCTCAAAAACGTGTCAACTTTTTGTCAGCTAATTTTCCAATTACTTGTTTTCTTATCAGTGTTCTATATACTTACGCACACAATGTATCTTGACGTATCTATATTTAATTATTTAATAAATAAAATGAGTTTTTGCGCATTAAAAAGGTGCAGATTTATAATACAAAATGAATATAGAAGTTGTAAAGGAATCACTCATAAATATTTCTCACGCAAAATTGTATGAAAAAGTTGACCTGCTTTTTTCGAAGCATTTGTATTGAGACACTCTATTTATATAATTTAAGGTAGTATGTTAATAAGTGTTAATATTTTAAATATACTACCGTAATTTAATACGACACAACTGCAAGTAAATAATACTTACATATCTGATTTTTAATGCCGAAATTTGGACGTGGACAAATTGCAATTAGAAATTATTAAAATTTTTTTAATAAGACAGATGGATATAGGCTTTATCCAGCATGGAACCTAGTGTTTAATATACTTAAAATACGCGATAAATTGTGAATACCGTGAGTATGGTGTGTAGGATAAATATAGATAAAAATTGTGATATGTTAAATAAAGAAAAATAAAATAATGTGAGGGTAGCCGAAGAAACGGCGCGGGCTGGCAAAAAGAAACGCTGTTCGTGACCAGGACGTAATGCAACATACGTCGAAACGTCAGCAATAAAAATTAGATATGTAAATACTATTTACCTATCGTATATACGTCAAAGGCGGAAAAAAGGTCATCACCCATTTCGACGTCGCCTATATCTATTTTCGAATATATTACAAGTCTGTTATGCAATTTTATTTTAGATAACAAACATTTAACATATTCGTTATTGGAACTTTTAACTAAAATATATAGATATTGCTATATATTGCTTACTGTTATTGTATAGGTAAGCAAATAGCGCAGCACAGGGACGATGCTCGTCTCATCGAGGCAATAATTACTGAGATTATCCAAAGAATAGCCGATCAGATCGTCGCTGCTGGCCTGGACCCTTTGGAAGTGGACAGATTGGAACTGGAATACAGACTGCCAGTTACAGAGTTAGTAACTATATATTTTTTTTTATGCAACTTAGAATGGCAAACAAGCTGACCGCCCACCTCATGGAAAGTGATAACTGTTGCTTATAGACATAAGCAGTACCATGGACATAACATATTTACTATTGATATATAAATAATTATATATCATAAATCCTTAAGAGTTAATATTTATCATTAAATTATTACCAGAGGGAGACTTTGTACAAAAGTCGATTGCTTGGGTACCTCTGTTCCATTCGTGTTTCAACCGTTAAGCAGTTGTGTTTGCATAGCTGTGTTTCGGTTTGAAGGGTGGGATATGGCGTGAAATTACTGGGTACAGAGAAATAACACCTGAGTCCTCAGGAATGGAAACACATGGGGGGTATCATGGGCGAAACAGTATACTCTGTTATGTCTATGGTACTGCTCATGTCTATAGGCGACGGTTACCACTTTCCATCAGGTGGACCGCCAGCTTGTTTGCCATTCTAAGTTGTATAAAAAAAATACATGCAGTAATAAATATTTTTCCTTTATAATTAAATTTTTAGTAATGTAGTTATTAATTTAACCGGAATATAAATTATAATTGTAAATTTAAAAATTTGTTTTAAGAACTCTTGAGTGGTTTTTGGAATCCTCAATTCGCCATAGTAACATTTGCTTCTAATAAAATTGGGATATATGTGAAAGTTTGTAAAGGTGGGTGGATGTATGGATGAATGGATGATGGTTGTTTATTACTTTTTCACGCAAAGACTACTAAATGGATTTGAATGAAATGTGGTTGGTACACGGGTAAGTTATATCCTAAGGACACACAGGATAATTTATATACTGGTTTACGTGAGTAAAGCAGAGTGATACAGCTAGTAAAATTATATGTACAAACAGCAATATTTCCATGTATCTAGGTCACGTGATCATGAACGTCGTAGAAAGAAATGTACGTAATTTTACATGACATGTGTATGTATGTGTAACGTAACAAAGTTTTGATACTATTAATGTGTATATTAAACTTATCTTTATGTTAATTGATGGCAATTTTCTTAACCCACTTCAAAAAGAAGCAGGATCCCAGTTTTCGTTGTATTTTTTGTTTGTTACTTCATACCTTATTCCGTCAGTATTTTTTTTTAATTAAAGTTAATATACAATTCCTTAAATACTAATACTAATATAACGATAAACTTATAAGTAATCTCCCAACGCACCACACCGAGGCAGCCTACCCAAGATATTGGCAGCATTACCTCTTTGGATTGCCAAACTTATCTTTTGGGCAAAGTAGTTACCAGTTCTTGGGTCACCAGTAACCTCGATGAGGCGCTACGATCCGATAAAAAACCGTCAGTTGTAAACCGACTTTTAAAATTCTTGTTTTTTTTAAGAAATTATATTAAAATCGGTTTAGAAGTATAGTTTTTAAATAAAAACTACTGCTTTTGCCAAAATTGAAGCCGTTTTTTTTTCATGGAGCATAATCTTATTATTATTATTTCTTTGACAGCTTGCTGATCGTCACTGGTGAAGTGGAGAACTTGGTGTTGGCTGGCGTGAGCAATATCGCGATAAACAACATCAATTACGGTATTCTCTCAAGCAGACTCACCTTCGACATCTCTCTGCCTAGGATCTCGGCGGTTATCGGTACGATTCTTGCTTACTACATTTAATAGAGTTATTAAGAGCTAGTTAAAGAGAGAGTAAAATTATTTTACATTGTGATTTTGAGGTCATTAGATTCATTTTAAAAGAGAATACTGTCAGTGAAGCTCAGTTCTCTTTTTTTCAAAAGAAGCATTGAATTGAAAAATAAAAATTACAGCTTCTCCAAAAGTTAATGGATGGGAGATAACGTTGTATTATATGGGAAATTTGTTGTTTTTTGTTTCCAAACACCTTCAAAAAGATGGAGATACTCAATTCGGTTGTATTTTTTTATGTTTGTCACCTCATAACTCCGTCAATTGTGAATGGTGAATGGAATACTAAAGAGAGACTTTGTACAAAATTCGTTTGCTTGAGCATCTCTGTCTCATTCGTGTTTCTACCGTGAAGCAGTTGTGTTTGCATGGCTGTGTTTCGGTTTAAAGGGTGGGATATGGCAGTGAATTTACAGGGTACAGAGGAATAACACCTAAGTCCTCAGGAATGGTAACGCATGTGGGGAATCATAGGCGCAACAGTATACTCTGTTATGTCCATGGTACTGCTCATGTCTATGGGCGATAGTGACCACTTTCCATCAGATGAATTGTCACCTTGTTTGCCATTCTAAGTTGCATGAATAAAAGACTTTTCCATTTTAAAGAAAGTATCTATATTCTTCTTTATTTTTTATTGTGTACAAACATAATGTTAAGAACAATTAATTTTAAACGCAATGTACAAAGGCGAGTTATTTATTATTATTATAATTTATTTAATTTTCAGGTGCCTCTTCTTTGGACGTTACCTTCTTTGGGGCATCCTTAACTTCTAGCTTAAGTGGATCGTAAGTAGCTTATATTTATATATCAATTGCTAATTAAAAAAAAAAACATATCATTGTATATATATTTTTTTTTATTTATTACTTAATGCGGTACTAATATTATAAATGTAATAGTGAGTTTGTTTGATTGATTGTTACTTTATAGCGTCTTAATGGCTTAACTAATTTAAGAAAAGTACTATACAAGCCTTGGCCACAACTAGGCATTGATGGACTCACGTATGTGTGCCTCGGCTACGCCTCGACCCATATTTGCACGTTCGTCCATCAATGCCTCAGTTGCTGGCCGCTGCAGTAATGTACTATAGTTGCCTGGGTTTTATAATTAAACACGGTTATAGTTTTTTATACAATTACTAGTATAAAAGTTTGTAATTGTATAAATAACTAGTGATCTTACCCGGCTTCGTTCCGGTGGATAGAATTTTCGAAAATAATATAAAGTCTATGTTATTCGCTGATAATATAGCTTTCTATAGGTGAAAGGAGTTTTACAACCGGTTGTGTAGTTTTTGTGTTTATTCATTACCAACAAACAATAATTTTTTTCCTCTTTATATTAATAGTATTGTATTGTATCAGCCGTTAGAATGAAGAGCTGACAACTAATGGGGAAGGAAGATTCTTGAGTGGCGACCGCGTATGGGTAAACGCAGTGTAGGATGATATCCCCACTAGATGGAGAGACGATCTTAAATGCATTGTAGGGAGTCAGTGGATGCGGGTGGCTCAGGACCGTTCTTTATGGCGATCTATGCGGGAGGCTTATGTCCAGCAGTGGACGGATAATGGCTGAAATGATGATGTATTTGTCGTTAACTGTCCACTCCTGAACATAGCTCCCCTTATGGGGGATATGTAAGGGGGTTTTGCCAGTAGTTGTTACGTTTGGCAAGCGGTGTAACATGTCTAATTATTTTTATTATCACTATTATAGTATCGCTATCGTGGAGCCTCGCGTGCAAGGAGACGTTCGTATCAACATCAGCATCATCGGAGGTATCTCTGTCCGCAGCCTCAGTATTGACTTCACCCTACGCGATATTGAGGTAAGCATTGTACTGTAACTACATTTTTAAATCCAAACGTGCTCAAAAGTGTCTTAATTTTACATATAAATTATGTTTTGGTAAAATTTTAAGTTACGTAAGTCAATAAGTTTAAAAATATTTATTAATTTTTGCAGTCCGACCTGAATCTGGCAATCCAGGGTGTCGACTACTCTGCTCCTCTCAACAACTTGCTTGGAAATGTAATCCCCACCGCAATTGCAGAAAACAGGGTAAGTTCTTTCACATATAACATATTGCTTTGCAAAAAGAGCGACTGTAAACACACTCACGTGCACACACGTACGCACGCGTACACATACACACACACACACACACAAACACACACACACACACACACACACTACGCTACGTGCACACACACACGCACGCACACATACACATATACACACACATACGTGCACGTACACATACACGCACACACACACACACAGACATGGCGATCAGCAATAAAATATTTTGTAGATAATTTTATATTGTAAATATTTGATTTAGAACATGGAATTACGTGTAAATGTAAATTTTACAGCAGCGGTTTTATAAAGATAAACAGCAACTTCAATCAACATAAAATTTATGTGGGACCAATAATACGAGACCATTTGCTCTCGTATTGTGAAAGGAATTGTCAAAATCGATTAAAAAGTTAGTATCAGAAAAAAAAAAATGAAATGAGGACTTACTTTATTTTGGAATATTAAGCAATTGTCACTGCAATTAGTACCATGATTATATAATATAATAATATATATAGTACACATAACTAATTTAGAATGAATACTTGTTGGTACCTAGAATTTATATCTAGAATAAGTTTACTATTGTAATCTTTAGGAGAAAACAATTAGGAGTATCTATCTATCTATCTGCCTAACATACGAGTATATATAATTTTGCGAGTAATTAATTAATTTTTTTTACGAGTAATTCTTTTATTTAAAATACTTTTTATATTTATTTTCAGAGCGAAATAAATGAGCTGATAGAATACATCGTCTGGGTAATCATTGACGCTATTCTGTAAATCGATATATTGATTAATTGACAAAAATGCGAGGAGATGTGAAACAACTGACGTTCAACAACGTGTTATTAAATATACTTTCTCAGTTTTCTAATTAGAAATGTGAATACAACTCTTTGAATTTAAAATGTAATAGATCCAAACCAGTATTTATTTTTAATAAATAACTTACATTTACCGAGTGAATAAATTACAATGTAAATAATTATATCATTGTAAACGAAATGTTAAATACTTAAAGAGCAACAGTGTAATTTGTAATTTTTATTACAAATTAATTTATAAAAATAAATAAATACTAATTGCAACCGTGTTTGATTTTTTTCTACATATTTTTTTAAATAAGTTTATACTGATAGAAATTGTAAACCATGAATGCATGGACATTACGAATAAGTCACCTCCTTTAAGTTCTTTAATGGCAGTCTACAATACTATATTCTTAAATATGTAAATGTAATATAAATAAACAAAACAATTTTTTTTTTTTTTTATCAAGATATTAACAAAGAATGTTTATTTTCACACTGCATGTTTTATGATTTGTAATGAGCGGGTAGAAGAAAATACTTCTGTCTACTTCGGGAGCGTAGACATGACAGCGCTACATCATTCTTCTCGATATTGGTTTGGTAAAAATTTTCAGTTTTGTTGGTACCATACAAGGGGAATTCTACCAGAATGTAGGGATAGGCTTTCTATATAATATTTTGTTGCATCTATATGGCTAATTCTTTTTTAGAATATTCCTTAAAGTGTTGATTACTACTGATGGTTCTTACGGAGAGAAAAAGTAAAAAATTGCCTAAAAAGTCTAAAAACAACACTTTTCTATACGACCATTAAATATATATTATATATATATATATATATATATATATATATATATATATATATATATATATATATATATATATATATAGTATAACTATTTCTCTCCATCCAAAGGTTGCCTGGAAGAGATCGCTTTTAGCGATTAGGTCGCCCATTATTTTCTCATTATGATTATTTTTTGTAATTTTTTATATTTGTAATAAGTTTACTATTGTAATCTTTACTTATAAACGCCTTGCTGGATAAATCATCAATCATTGTTACACACATTACAACATATTTTAAATGTGAAAGTGAGTTTGTTACATCTTGATGTCTTAACGTGTTAACCAAGATGCTTGGGGAGCAAGTCATTGTTAGCAATGAAGTTTAACAGCCCCATCGCTAGCAATATGCCCTTTTAGGTCGACCTCTACGGCGTTCCCCCTGGAAACCATCGTGAACAATTCTTGTTGAATTCGTCACGATGGGTTAACTAACCTGCTTCATCTACACCTATCACTCTTCACTGGTGTTTCGCGGGTGTATACAGATAGCGCGAGTGGGGTTACCATTCCATTATCACCCAATAAAAAACCAAGATGCTTTACTGGCTTTATTGACTACTATATTTGGATACATATACTATACGAGGTGAAGACGGATGTAGGTTACTTTTAATTCAGTCAATGAACATATCCCGATGTTGCTGATGAAGTCCCTTATAAATGGTGAGTGATAAATGGAGAGGTGTGTATATATAATGTATGTATAATGTATATGTTGAAACATGAACAAAAAAAACATTTTAGTAATTTTATGCATTCTGATTTTGTTTCTTTTTTTTTAAATCTTTTGTACATGTATCTTTTTTTATCTTTTTTCACTTTGCTTTTGTATCTTTTGCGGTTTGTGTGCTGTAAGTGATGCAAATAAATTATCTATCTACCTATCTATAATTGAACTAGATTTTGGTCTATTAAAACGCAGAAGAAGTCGCGGTTAAAACTAGTTTAATAAATGTCACGCAACATATTAATCACTCTAATCAGAACTAGATAAAGACACTGATGGCTAAATCATTGCGAAAGAATTGACTTTGTATCAGTGATTGATAATGTACGTGTATAAATCAAATTCAATTAATACTGATTGTGAATTACTATGAATAATGACAATGTTCATCATCGTCATCATCATCATATCATATCCTGTATTGAACATAGGCTTCTATTGGAGAAGTTTTTCCAGAAGTTGTCATGCTTGGCAAGATAACTACTGAAAAAACTTCGCAGATAGGCTTTAGTGATGTTTCAAGTGGGACGCTTTATCAGGTCAATCTCTACGCGGTTCTTGGAAACCATCGTTGTTAAGTCATGGTGAGGGGGAATGAAATTGTTAGTAATGGAGACTGAGAATCCCATTGCTAGAAATATACCCAACCAGGTCGACCTCTTCGCGGTTTTTCCTGGAAACTACCATGGTTAATTCCTGATGAATTCATCATGATGGGTTAACTGGCCTGTTTTCATTCTCATCTATCACCCTTTACTGGTACTCCGCCAGTGTATCCCGTTAGCGCAGGCGAGGTTACCATACCATTTTCACCCATCAAAAAAAAGTCATGGTGATGATTTTTTATTATTATTTCAGACATTAACTGTCCACTGCCGAACATAAGCCTTCCCTATAAGGGCAGTTTTGCCAGTATTTGTCACGCTTGGCAGGCGGGTTGGCAACCACAATTAGGCTTCTAGAGATGTTTTAAGAGGGACGCTAAGAGCTACCCATCCCGCGCCCTCCCTTATTGCGTCTTATGTCACACCCACGGGGAGGGGAGGAGTGGCCTATTTTATGTTAGGGCACACATGGCATGTTGATGATTACGATCAGCTAACTAACCTGACTTTATCATCACCTATCTATCATTTTTCACTGGTACCTCCTGCACTAGTACTGGTACTCCACCAGCGAATACCATTAGCGAAGGCAGGGTTACCATTCATTTACAATATCTTTGTAAAACTTAGATTTTTGGCGAGTACGTTGTAGGTATGTAGTTTATTTCCTGCAAAAAATGATATGAACAAATATTTTTCAACGTAATTGATAGGCTATCGTTACGTAAAGTGATTAATACTATTTAAAGTCTAGCTACGCTCACGACTTTGTTTGCTTGGTAGTCTAAATTTAAATACTATATAGATATCAAATATAGATACGTATATAATATAGTATATAGCCGACTTTAAAGCGACTTCAAAAATAGGGAGATTTTCAATTTTATTGTATTTTTTTATGTTTGTAAGCTCATAACTCCGTCAGTTCTAAACCGATTTAGACAATTCTTTTTTTATTTGAAAGGATTAATTTACAGATTTGTCTCGTAGATATTTTATCAAAATCGGTTAAGTAATTTAATTTTGAGATCAAAATAACCGGTTTTGTCATAATCGAAGTTGGCTTTTTTTGTGGGATACAATTTTTAATTATTTGAAAAAAGAAAACGTTCATAGACAGATGAGGAAAAAAATGTTAGTAATAGGGATCTATCAACTCCATTGCTAGCAATATACTTTATCAGGTCGACCTCCACGCGGATCTCCCCACGTTAACATGTTGGCTAATTCTTGTGGAATTTGTAACGGTGGGTTAACTAACTTGCTTTCATCCTCACCTATCATCCCTCATTACTGCTTCGCTAGCGTATACCGTAAGCGTAGGCGGGGTTATTAATCCATTATCATGTAATAAAAAAATGTACATACAGACTCTTTTTACAAATTTTATTATAATATAGATAATCCTTATTAAGCACATCTGCTAATCCCACGGATTAAATTGTTTACAATTCATATCTGATTATTGAAATTTGTATATAAGGTGCTTTGATCATATTTAACAATAAAACGTTGATTTGGTGTTTTTGTAATTGTGAGATATAAGGTTAGAATTTTATTTATATATATTTGTAAGATATATTATTCATAAATATGTGTAAACCTATCCACATGGATTATATTGTAAATACATATAGATTTTTTTTTGTGATAGTGTAGTTTTTTTTTTAATAGATGAAAATGGAATGGTAACCCTGTTCGCGCTATCGCTATACACTGGCGGGACAACAGTGAGGGATGATAGGTGAAGATGAAGCAGGTCAGTTGGCCTATCGTGATGAATTCGTCAAAAAATAACCACGATGGTTTTCAGGGGAAACCGCGTAGAGATCGAACTGTTCGGGTATGTTACTAGTAATGGATCTGATAGATTTCATTACTAACAATCCGTGTCCTTCTTGTAATAGTGTAGTTGTTTGTAATCGTTTTATACTAGCTGTATTTTACGGTTCCGTTCGCGTCAATTAGTACATAAAATATCCTATGTGCTAAGTTAGGATATAACCTATCCGTGTAACAAATTTTATTCAAATTCGTGCACTAGGTTATTTCTTTTTTTTTATACAACTGAGGTGGAAGGGGGAAGGGATTGTTAGAAATGCAGACTATCAGTCCCATTGGTAGCAATGTGTCCTGTCAGGTCGATCTCCACGCGGTTCCCCCTGGAAACCATCGTGCTGAATTCCAGGTGTTATCACGATGGGTTAACTGACCTGCCTTTTCGTTCCCACTTATTATCCGTCAAGCGGGGGTGCCACTCCATTATAATCTATTAAAAGAACTGAGATAGTAAACAAGCATATGACCTATCTGACGGTAAGTGGTCACCGTAGCCTATAAACCCCTGCAATACCATAAGCATTACGCGCGCGTTGCCAATTTTGAAGAAATCTCTACCTTTTTTGTCCCGGCCTAATCTATAGGCCACCTCTTTCTTTTCTGTAAGTGTCGTAAGAGGCGACTAAGGGAGCGCGAGGGATGGGCATCAGCGCCCCTCTTAAAACATCTCTAAAGTCTAACTGCGGTTACGGGCAAAACCTCCTAAGGGGGAGGCTTATGTTCAGCAGTGGACCGTCAAGGTCAGCTCTCAACGGTCCATTGCTGATCCACATGATGATGATGAATATCACAGTACAAAGGACTACTAAAAACTACTTCTAATATTATAAATGTGAAAGTGAGTTTGTTCGTTACTTTATAGTGCTGTAATAGCTTAATTAACAACTATGAAATTTAGGTGTCTACGTACCATATTTATAGGATGAAGTAGGGTACATGCTCCTTTTTATCCCGGTCAATAAACATATCCTGGTCTCGTGAACGGACTCGCTGGTAAAATCTAGTATATTTATATACTTATAGGACTAAATCGTAACCAATATATTTTTATTGGTTACCTACCATTTAGTTCTAAAAGTGTAACAGGGTAATTCGTATTTGTTTATTTTTTTTTAGTGATCCTCTTCAAAGATGAAACTCCTAATTGCGTTCGCCGTTTTATTGGTTGGTACCAACGCCAATATTCTGCACGCCCCAAGTGAGTATCAAGTTAATTTCTATTTTGATTTATATGTGTATGTTAATATATACGTTTGTATTTTGTTTTTATGTTTGGATGTACATAACTCCGTTGATTCTAAACTTATTTAGAAAATTATTTTTATATTTGAAAGGATATACTAATAGAGAACGGAACCTCACAGAAATTTTGTCAAAATCACAAAGGCAGAATCCATGGCCAGGAACGCCAAATGCTTCGAATCAAACAGGCCTCTTTCGCTTCCTCCACAATCAATAATCTTTTCATATATGCTCGCCAGTTACAATATCGTCTTTGATACTTCTCTCAAAAATATATATATAGATAATATATATCGTCATAGTCGTAGAATACTGACGGATCTTTATATGTAATATTTGTCAGATCCGGCAGTATTCTACGACTATGACGATATATAGATAATAACCGTGTCGGTCCCGGCATAGAATTGACCACACCCTCTCTTTCCCTGGGTGTTGTAAGAGGCGATTAAGGGAGCTTATTGAGGAGGGATGGTTAGCAGCGTCGTTCTTAAACCATCATTGCGTGAAATTTTCTTATAGGCTATGTTCAAGTGGACAGTTAATGGTTGATACAACAATATATATAGATAATATTTAGCAGAGGGAGACTTTGTACAAAAGTCAATTGCTTGGGTACCTCTGTCCCATTCGTGTTTAAACCGTAAAGCAGTTGTGTTTGCATGGCTGTGTTTTGGTTTGAAGGGTGGGATATGGCGTGAATTTACAGGGTACAGAGAAATAATAACGCATGGGGGTATCATGGGCGAAACAGTATACTCTGTTATGTCCATGGTACTGCTCATGTCTATAGGCGATAGTTACCACTTTCCATCAGGTGGGCCGTCAGCTTGTTTGCCATTCTAAGTTGTATAAAAAAAACAGGTTCTCATGGGTGGTGGTAGTTAATTACTATCAGGTGAGCAGCATAGTCGTTTGCCTCTTGTGTTATAAAAAAATGACGTTGCTCCGCAAACAATCTTATCAGTAGTGAAAACGTAAATTAATACGTGTATGGGGCCAAACCGGGAGTAAATTCTTCGATAACAAGAAGCATTATCCATATAACAATTTAGAACTGATATTTTTTTTAATGGATGATAATGGAATGGTAATCCCGCCTGCGCTGTCGGTATACACTGGCGGGGTACCAGTGAGAGATGACAGATGAGGATAAAGCAGGTCAGTTAGCCCACCGTGACAAATCTAACAATAAATCAATCACGATGGTTTCCAAAGGGAACCACGAGGAGGTCGATCTGATATAGTATATTACACTTCTGCCTTCTTCATGTAACAATACAGTCACTCTTTCTTTAAGAATGGTAACATCATAGCTAGATTCTGTCGCGTTTTACTTACTTGTGTAAATATAAATATAAATAGGCCTCTATTTTCCGCGCTTAGCCTCTTATTTGGGCCGTGCGTATGAGTCGTGGCTAGTACAACCAACCTAGCTCTGTCCAGAAACACAGAAGCTTCCTAGGATCTTCACAGGCCTCACGGAACGACCTCACCGTTCCGAGGATTTCTAAACGTTGATGGGTCACAGCATCACATTCTAGGATTACGTGAGCAACCGTTTCTTCGGCGTCGAAACAGCCTCGACATAGAGGACTGCCTGTAGCTCTATTGTTTATAAATGTTTGTTTAATGGACAATGGCCCGTTATTGTCCCTTTTATTTTCCTATATAGATGTAATAAACGTTTTGATAGTCTTTAATTCAACGTAGGCACGGCCAATTTTGATTGTCTGCAATGAGTAGCCTGTATTAGTAGTTTTACTTACTTTTAGCTCGTCCTAATCTTTCACAGGTCCAGTCCCGAGCGTTCCCGTGCAGCAATATTCTTTCTCGGAACTTTCACGGTCTGCAGAGGAATTAGGTGAGATTGGAATTTTTCTCCGTAAATAAGAGATGCAGTTTTAGTCGTCACAATCTGAAAACGAAACCAACTCTATACTAATATTAGGGAGGCTTAGGTTCAGCAGTGGACAGATAACGTCTAATATAATGAAGGATGAAATGAGGCATCCAAAGGTTGCTTGGAAGAGATCGCTCTTAGCGATAAGGCCGCCCATTGTTTTCTCATTGTGATTATTTCTTGTAATTATTTATATTTATAATAAGTTTACTATTGTAATCTTTTGGAGGAAACAATAAAGAGTATCTATATATCTATATTTATGATAGAAATATTGTAAATTAAATTGTATGTGGTAACTTTTAATTGGCTTACTATTTGTATATATTATATATTTATTTTTAAGTTATTATAGCTGTAAGACTCTCTCAATATAAATAAATAAATAAAGAGTTGATTTGATTTGATGAATTCGGAAATTACTTAAACAATATTTTTTTTTTTTTTTTTACGTTTATAAAGTTACATTATTAGAAATAAAAGCATTCTATCCGAGTCAATCTTAGGGAAGTGTTAGAGATTTCGAATGCGGTGCTAGTAGTAATTGATTTACAAGTACATATATATTAAAAATTACATAGATTCTCAAATAAATTTATTGACCAAAAAAAAAAAAGAAAACACGGACTTAATGCTAGTAACTTTGGGATGAATAGTGAATCATGAACGCGGTACTTAAATATCGGGATAGGTAAAGAATATATATAAATAACAAATATACACGAATAATAAATAGACGAGAATACTAGACAATAATATGAGCTGTATTTTATTTTTAAGAAGATCGTGCGAAGCCGGTATTAAAATATCTGTCGCTAGTCGACTATAAAACGAATTGGGAAAATCGATTCAGAATTACGTAATCGCTTAACATGCTCGCAAAAAATCAATCAATTTGAGAATCGAGTTCTTTTGGAAGTCTAAAAAATGTTGTTTAATTATTGCAGGTAAACAAATAGCGCAAAATCAGAACGATGCCCGATTCATCGAGGGAATAATCGCCGATATTCTCCAATTGATCATCGATCAAATCGTTAAGGCCGAACTGGATCCATTGGAAGTGGACGATTTGGAATTTAGATACAGATTGCCAGTGACAAAGTCAGTATTTATTTATGTTGTTTGTTATAAGTTACAATTACAGTTTGTAAACAGAATTGAACATTGTAAACATCATTTAACAGTAAGTTAGAAGTAAATGTTATAACGCTCTTATAGATGTACATTACATTACCGATTACAGTTATGATCCAAACTTATTCCATTTTAAAATTATATAATAACTTCTTAAAACTAATGGTACTCTGATGAAAGATATCGAATTTTAAATTCATCATCATCGTGGCTGTGTGGTCCCGGCATAGAGTAGGCCACACCTTTCGTTCCCGTGAGTGTCGTACCAGTCCCATTGCCAGTAATATATTCTGTCAATTTGACAGGATATATTGCTGGCGTGGAGTTTGCTCTACGTGGTCCCTCCTAGAAACCATAGTGCAGAATTACACGTATATTCAACACGATGGGCTAACTGACCTGCCTTTTCATTCTCATCTATCATCCCTCACTGCAATCAATTAGCCCATTGTGACGAATTCCAATAGAATTAACCACCATGGTTTTCAGGGGGAACCACGTGGAGGTTGACCTGATAGGGTGTATTGCTGGTAATGGGTCAGTTAGATCCTATTACTAACAATCCCTTTCCCCCCTAATCTTAACTGCGGTTACCAATCCGCCTGCCTAGTGTGGCAACTACTGGTAAAACCTTCCAAGTGGGAGGCTTATGTTCAGCAGTGGACCGTTAAAGGCCAATAAGATGATGATGATGGTATTGTTAATGTCTATAGGTGATGATTATTATTGTCCATCAAGTCCCCACATTCTTGAAATTTTAAGTGTGCATAAAAAATCTCTACGAAAGTGATTTATCTATAAATCTTTTTATTTTGTCCACAGCCTCTTGAATATTGACGCAGTAGCGGAAGACATTGTACTGGCTGGTGTTAGTAACATCGTCATTAACAGAGTCAGCTATTCCATTTTCACTAACAGAATCATCGTGGACATCGCTTTACCCAGGATCTCAGCTGCTATCGGTATGCAACAGAAAGTTCGAAATTCAAAATATTTAAAATCAAGGAGGACTTATTTATTTAAATAACTTTATTGACTAAAAAAATATGGTACAAAAGGGGGACTATATACATATATGTATATATACCGAACCGAATTTAAAAATTCTTTCACCTTTAGCAAGTTGGATTATCGTCGTGCGTAGCTGATACGGCTTGGTTGGCAAATTTTTCAATTTCATAAGCCAAGATGTAGTGGATACGAGTAATCTTGCATTACAATAGTTAAATTAATAATAAATACAACTATAGAATCAGTCTTTCATCACTCTTGCAAAATAAGTATTCTTAAGTTGCATTATCAGATTATTATATATTAATTTAAATATTTATAAAAAAATCCTAACTTATTCGTATTTAAAATATTGCAATTGCTCTGTCATTATAGGCTTCCTTCTCAGTCTTGCCAGTTTATAAAATAATCGAAATAGTAAGACTGGCCTTATAAAACTCTATTTTTTTTTAATTCTCTATAAATACGTTTTATACAGGAATCAGTTTTCTTCATGCCCTATAAACCATTATAGTTTGCGTTGGCACTGCCCAATCCCGTTAGCGTCAAAGTGTTAGCATATATATACCTATATACACGCGCCCTGTGTATATAACATAATTAATATATAATATATATATATATATATATATATATATATATATATATATATATATATATATATATATATATATATATACCTTGCTCACTAATATTAAATAAACCTCACAAATTGAGAGATTTTATCAGGGGGATATTTTGTACAAAAGTCGTTTGCTTGGGCACCTATGTGCCATTCGTGTTTCTACCGTGAAGCAGTTGCGTTTGCATGGCTGTGTTTCGAGTTGTAGGGTGTGATATGGCAGTGAATTTACAGGGTATAGAGGAATAACGCCTGAGTCCTCAGGAATAGCAACGCATGGGTAGTATCATGGGCGAAACAGTATACTCTGTTATGTCCATGGTACTGCTCATGTCTATAGGCGACGGTTACCACTTTCCATCAGGTGGGCTGTTAGCTTGTTTGCCATTCTAAGTTGCATAAAAAAAAAAGTGATGATAGAATAAATCAGGATGAAAGCAGGCCTAACTGGACTGCCCATCGTAACGAATTCTATAAGAATTAACCACTTGGTTTCCAGGAGGAATGGCGTGGAGATCGACCTGATTGGGTATATTGCTACCAATAAATGTATGGCGAAACCCAATGTTACCCAATTCATAAAAACGGAATTAACAATTGTTTTCTTAATTTTTTTAGGTGACTCCGGCTTGGGCGTAACCGTCTTTGGTGGATCATTAAATGCCAGTTTACGAGGATCGTAAGTGTTTCCGTTTATATATTAACTAGTTCTTCTGAATCTGTTTACTGATCTATATCTTTATCCATCCGTCCATGTTCTGTCATGTCCGTGTATACCAAAGTTTATAGTGTTTGATTAAGCCGTTAAAGCGCTATAAGATGATAAAAAAAAAAAACTCACTTTGACTTTTATAATATTAGTAAGGATTATTGTTAACATCTTTACCATAATGTTATTAGTACTTCAATTAATATGTTAGACATGTATGTTTGTTTATATTGTGGTGGTATTCAATAGTATTTGTTTCTTTAATTTTATTTATATTTGTTTAATTTTGTTTAATTTTTGTATTGTCTAATTTTGTGTTTCGTTTACTTGTATTTTATTTTGTGTAAATTCTAGTGGCCACCAAATTACTATTTAAGTATATAATTATGTATTATTTTAGCTGTTTGTTTGCCTTAAATAAATAAATAATAATAATAATAAAGATTTATTCATAAAAAATATGTCATGGGCTTACAGAAATTCTCAACGTTAATTATATGTATATAAAGAGTAGCATTATGTCCAACATGGACGGATAAGTGTCTGAAATGGTGATGATGTAAGATTAATCTTTAAAAGGATACATATTTTTGCAGTTTCGCTAAATTAAAATAGTACATGATTCAGTAAACAAATGTATATATTACTAAAATGGGTATCTGAAAATTTACAATGTTGCATCAAGAAATTAAATTATAATAAAAATTTTTGCTCTGCATTGTTGGACATCATTAGACGATGAAAAAATTATGGTGAGACCATACAAACTATGAACATTTGTTATGAAATTTTTTATTAATTTTTTTTTCTTTATTTAATATTTATTTAATCCTTCCTTTTATAAATAAATATTTATTTGTTTAGAAAGGAAAAAATGATTTTATTTTCAATGATGATTGATGGCACATCTTTTCAAATTCATTTGTGGATTATAATACAAATACTCAACTACATATATAGATATCACACATCTTAAATGCATACACATATACTAATGGACAAAGAATAATATATAAGTAGCGATTGGGAATGGACAAAGACACGGGAAACATTAGGGCAAAAATTATTATCCATGTATCCCGCTGTATTAATACTACCATAATTAGAGTAATGCTTTTATATAGCTATGCAACTATACAAATAGCATAAACGAAGGAAGATGTGTAAATGCATCAATAATAAATAATAATAATAATAATAAACAAATAAATAAATAAAAATAAAAAAAATAAAAAAACAAAATAAAAAATAGTACTGAATGAGATCTGGCATACGAACAGGTCATATCTCTATTTCAATCAGTATTCCCGGACACCAATACACTCTTAAATAGGTTAATAAATTAAGTCATTATACTAAACAGTTGTTCCGTTTTATCATAATCTAGTGTTTTCAAACAAGGTACTAACTTATTCATAATTTGAAATGAGTTCAAATTGTATAATTCTAATTGTTTATTTATTTTATTATATAAACGTGGACCAATATAACATTGAAATTTTGTTATGAAGTGTGTATTAAATTTTTCTGTTTGACAGACCTTGTACTTCCTTCTTAATGTACTATATATTTCCGGATTGCATATAATGCTTTTGTGTTGGTGTTTAATTAAGACTCTTACATACAATTGTCTCACTGTTAGAAAGCCGCATTCTAAATATAAGTCTTTAGTAGAAAACATATAAGGTTTAAATTTTAATACTTTAAGAAGAGAACGTTGCGCTCTTTCTAAAGGTAATACAATTGTTTTACAGGTACCACCCCAAGCTCTAATACAATATGATAAGATAGATTGTCCGAGTGCATAATAAATTTTTTGAAGCAGTATGTTTAGACATGTATGTTTGTTTATATTGTGGTGGTTTTCAATAGTATTTGTTTCTTTAATTTTATTTATATTTGTTTAATTTTGTTTAATTTTTGTATTGTCTAATTTTGTGTCTCGTTTACTTGTATTTTATTTTGTGTAAATTCTAGTGGCCACCAAATTACTATTTAAGTATATAATTATGTATTATTTTAGCTGTTTGTTTGCCTTAAATAAATAAATAACGAAGCCTTATTCATGCTAAATGTCGATTGGCGCACTTAACATTATTCTCTAGCAAGGTTAACCTTTTGGCGGAGGCTTATGTCCAACAGTGGACGGATAATGGCTGAAATGGTGATGATGAAGATTAATCTTTTAAAAAAGGCACTCAGACATATTTTTGAGCTAAGCTAAAAGTTCCATAAGTATGGAAGTACGTACGAAATAAGTAAGTACTCTGGGTTGAATTTAGCAACGAATCGAAACATTAAACGAACTAATAAATTTTTTGGGACATTATTGGACATCAATAGACTATATTATGGTCAGATCTACTATCCATTTGTTTAAATTTTCATTAATTTCTATTTAATATGTATTTAATATGAACTATATAAATAAATATTTATTTAAAGAAAGAAAGGAAAAAATAATTTATTCAACGAATCATGCAACTCAGTGTGAGTTGCATGATTATAATATGAGTAGTATACAAAATAAGATCAAAACAAAATTAAAAAATTGTATACAAAATAAAAAGCGTCTAATGTTTTCTGCTAAATTGAAGATTAAATTTAAAAATAAAACAACAGGTCTTGAATTTAAAATCGATATAAAACCAATTTTGTACAGCACTCATGAAATAATAATTAGAAATTAGGTTAGAATTAGGATCGGTTTTTAATAGTTTGCATTAGCAAATTACATTAATATGCATCTATCCGAACAATTTGGAACTATTAAGTCGCTAGTGTTGCAGTTCAAGAGTTTTCGCACTCTTTCGCAATCTCAATTCCAATATTAATCTGTTGGAATTTATTTCAAGAGTAACACCCACAAGTATGCACAAATGTGTACACGTGTGCGTGTGTGTGTGGCAATGTTCTGTGAAGTAGATCCGAGCTTAGCATATTGCTTCAGCGCTTGAGGTACTACAGCGCTGGTTTTCAGCACGAAACATGGCGTTCTAGAAAAGATGCAACTTTTTATTGCACCAAACATAAAAATATACAATGGTAATTAGAAAATTCAAGCGTAATACAATAGCATAAAGTACTATATTATTTCAGCATTGATATCGTGGAACTTCGCGTACAAACGGATGTCCGTATTAGTCTTAGCATCACCGGCGGCATCTCCATACGCAGCGTTGATGTTGACGTCACCGTGCGCGATATTGTGGTAAGTGTTTTTTTATACTATTATGGTAGTAGACAAGCATACGGTCCGTCTGATGGTAAACGAAGTTACCGTAGCCTATGGACGTCTGTAACATCAGGATTGTCACGCGCGTTGCCGATCCTTAAGAAACCTTAATACGAGTATTAAGTATTTTAGTTTGATTACATTTTTGATAATAGAAATGAGGTAATTTAATAAGTTCAACTTAATAACATACTCGGTTTTGGTCGTGACTTCATTTGCGCGGAATTCGGAAGTGTGGCATTTTTGTATTTAATACATTAATAAGAGATCGCCGCGTGGTCCCAGCATTCTTGTGAAATAAATATTAAAATAAATAGGTATTATTGTTTAACATTTTCTTTATATACCTTATAGTCCTGGAATAGAATGAATCACCCCTTATTTTCCTTTGGGTATCGTAAGAGGTGACTAAAAGAGAGCGAGGGATGGGTAGCAGCGTCCCTCTTAAAATATCATCCAAGTCTAACTGCGGTTACCAACCCGCCTGCCAAGCCTGACAACTATTGGCAACACCTCCAAATATGGAGGCCTATTTTTAGCAGTGGATAGGTAATGAATTTTACCAGAGGGAGACTTTGTACAAAAGTCGTTTGCTTAGGTACCTCTGTCCCATTCGTGTTTCTACCGTGAAGCAATTGTGTTTGCATGTTTGTGTTACGGTTTGAAGGGTGGGATATGGCGTGAATTTACTGGGTACAGAGGAATAACACCTGAGTCCTTAGGAATGGCAACGCATGGGGGGTATCATGGGCGAAACAGTATACTCTGTTATGTCCATGGTGCTGCTCATGTCTATAGGCGACGGTTACCACTTTCCATCAGGTGGACCGTCAGCTTGTTTGCCATTCTAAGTTGTATAAAAAAATGACTAATATGATGATGGTAATGATAATAAATGACTTAATAATGTATCAGTATTTGATGATAATAAAAATGTTTGTGTTTTTTTTTTCATAGTCTAACTTCGCCCTGGTGATCCAGAATACTGACTATTCTGAACTCCTCAACAACTTGCTCGGAGTGTGGATCCCCAATAAAATCTCAACCTTTAAGGTATGTTCGGATATCCAGGTAAATACCATCGATATAGATAAAGTCGATGATACCATAGGTACCATCGACTTTAATTGTGGCAACACCAGTAATTTTTATTAATAAAACTAAACTATTGAACTGATTTTGTTACAATTTCTATGGGACTAGTACATGCTTTCAGATAAAAAAAAAATCCCGTATCGGTTTATGATACAGATCGGTATATATTACGTTTTGAGATAACGAATAAATAATACCAGCGAAGCCTTAACTTCCTCCTTTTTTGAAGTCGGTTGAAATTGCCACGATTTGTTTCTGCTGAACAAGGATTCTTTCCTAGAAATATTTTTACGAGTATGAGATCCTTAGCCAAATAACATAATTAGTATTTTGGTGATGTAGCAGTTTCATATTTTGCTTCATATGAAATATAATATAAACATGTGTATTCATAATATGTATTAAAAATTTTTATTATGTATTTCTCTCAATTGTTATTATTATATCAATTATATTTCTCTCAGTTCTCGGCATAGAATAGGTCACCCCTCCCTTTTCCGTGGGTGTCTTAAGAGGCGATTAAGAGAAGGCGAGGGATGGGCAACAGCGTCCCTCTTCAAACTTCTCCAAAGCCTAATTGCGATTGCCAATCCGTCTGTCAAGAGTGGTAACTACTGGGAAAATTCCCCAATGGGGAAGCCTATGTTTAGGAGTGAACAGTTAACAGCTGATATGATGATGATGATATAGTATAAACTGTTTTTAGTTTGAGATTAGGTACCATTGTGGGATATATATAGGTGATATTATTTTTATATTACCAAGTGATTTGGTATTATTTACGATTATTCTTCGAGTTTTCTTTTGTATTTATCTTTTTTGTTCTAGTAGACATTATGAACCTAGTAATCTATTCAAATGTTTTCTTTCGATTCACCATTAAAATATATATATTTATTATAAACCGCTAAAACTTGAATGCCATTTATTCGGGTAATAATAGAATAAAATGAAATATACTTTTTTGTAGCATCAGTGTTTTCTGTAATATACTTTTACTTTTATGGTAAATGGATAGAATTCATAGATAGACGAATGCAGGAAGTCCCAACAAAGTTATATTATTAATATCGTATCCCTAAAAAGAAATTGTACAAGTTGTTATAATTTATATTTTTTTTTCAGTCTGACATCATTGAATTGGCCGAGTACATCGCTTTAGTTGTCATTGACAGAATTCAGAATCCTCCTGAAGTTCCTGACACTGGCTGTTTACGTAATAAATAAAGTGATTTTTAATAAAATAAATGGCAATGTACCTGGCAACATTTATTTATCCAAATGTAATGGCTAAAATATTTGTATCCAAATCAAACACCAAATAAAAAAAAAACAAATCCTATATTTAATCTGTATTCGTTATATTTGCATATAGAACTATTTAGTTCGTGCTATTTTATATCTTCTATTTACTTGTCATAATATATTACAATGTATTGTATACATTATTGAATTTTTCAAGCTGAATTTATTTTGTTTTGAATAATAAAACTGTGAATACAAATAACAATGTATCTAGCAATTTTTATTTACCCAACTTCAGTGTTAAAACTTGGGCTATTTTATAAGAGTTCTGCAGATTGGATCTATTTACAATGTATTTTTTATGTAGAATGTAGTTTTTAAATTGTTTCGTTTTTTAAATTAATTTCGAAAGGAGGATGTAACAATTTTTTTTATGTAAAAGGCTGGCAAATCTGAATGCGAGTTACTTGATGGTAAGCGATTACCGTAATCCATGGGGGGTTAGTAGTCTCAAGGAAATCCAATTCTCGTGTCAACCTGATCAGAATTAACATGGTTCCATTATATAAATTCCTCTAGCCAGTGCTATTTACAATTTATATTACAATTATATTACAATTACAATATTACAATTTATTTACTGTTTCACACATGATACCCCCCATGCGTTGCCATTCCTGAGGACTCAGGTGTTATTCTTCTGTACTCTGTAAATTCACGCCATATCCCACCCTTCAAACCGAAACACAGCCATGCAAACACAACTCCTTCACGGTAGAAACACGAATGGGACAGAGGTACCCAAGCAATCGACTTTTGTACAAAGTCTCCCTCTGGTAAAATTTTACCTTACTAGGTGCAGATTTAGCTGAACCCTTTACCCAGAATGCCTGGGTAAAGAGTGTTTAATCGAGCTCTGAGCCTGCAGCCGAAAGGGGTTAGCAGATAACCCAGTATATGTATAGCTCACATTACAACATTACACGAGCCAATGAGTTACTGGCCTTTTATAAAAGGAGTAAATTCTTTTCTTGAAGGTTTCCATGTTGTATTTATTAAGAAATGCCGCTGTAGGTATTTTGTTCCATATTGTTTCAATACGCGGTCATGAACTGAGATGTAAAAGGTACAGTAGTACCATGGGGATAAGGAATTGACAGTAATGGTTTCTAACAGCCCTATTGCTAGCAATAGAGTTTATTGCTATATCGCGTCGACCTTAACGCGGCTCCCTCTGTAAACAATCGTAGTTAATTCCCGTTAAATTTTTCACGATGGGCCAACTGACTTATTTTCGTCTCTCAGTGGTTTTTGCCAGTATATATCGACAGCGCAGGTGAGGTTACCGTTGAATTTTCACCTATTAAAAAATGTACAGTAGTAGACCGCCATTCATCTAGATGATGTTGATAGTCTGACGGTCAATTCATCTGATTTTTTTGAGACTATATTATGCGATTACGTGGCAAGTTTTAAATTGATTTTCACAATTCTTTTTTAATAGTTTACTGCCATATTGGTCTCGGATATTTCCAGATTCATCGCGCTGGGCTGGCTGATTAATAATTATCCTTATCAATCATCCTTAACTAGCATACCACATCTGCCTTATACAGGCGGGTTTATATAATAAGACATTGTCAACTAGCTACCACTGCAGATAGAGTTGGTACAAGTCATATGGCTACTATAGCAGTTGGGTAAGAGCTTATTTTCAATAGTAAAATTGGATGGAGGAGTAAAAATAGAATACCTTCTCTCTATTGTCATGTTGACGAACACATAAATTTTTCCCTCTCTTGATTTGATCTGTTGTGTTTTGTCAGTCGTCTCTTACTATTTCTTGGAAATGAAGGGAAGAGCCATATAACATTTATACATTGTCACCACACGTAGAATTTCTTTTATGACTTAAAGACATTATGATTTCAAGGCATTGCGTATGAATAAGGATAAGTACAGAGGAAGATCCAGAAAGGAATAGATGAATTGTGTGAATGATGACAAGGCCAGAAAGGGAGTAACTAGTGAGTTGCAAATAGAGAGGAATGGAAGAGAAAATATATTATGTTGACCCCAAATAGATATGGGAAAAAAGTAGAAAGAAGAAGATGACTTAGATAATTAAAATGGTAAATAATCTAATGGTTTACTAATGGTAATCGTCGTTTATAAACCAGCACCATAGATATCATATGTGATACCCACGGTATATGCATAGCATACTATATTAGTTTTTTACTGTCCACTACACAACATAGGTCTCCCTTATTGGGGGGTTTTGCTTGTAGTTTCTACAATTGGCAGGTGGCTGGCAACCGCAGCTAGGCTTTGATGGTGTTTTAAAAGGGACGCTGCTGCTTATCCCTTAACTATTAAATTCCCTTAGTCGCTTTTTACGATACTCAAAGGGAAAGAAAAAGATGACCTATTCTATACCGAGACCACATGGCAACACTGGAATATAAATTAAAGATTTATATTCCAAAAGAAGTACCAAGACAGGTAGTTTATTTAATTGCATTATATCCATAAAGAATGTTATACTCGTTAGATTACATGGGTATTATCAGTTAATCGGATAGATTAAATAAATCCTTAACACTTGTTGTAATCAATACTTGTCATTTGGATAATAAGAGCCCATTTTGTTTACTGTAAGTGTGGTGACGATATAAATTACAATTTTACATTTACGATAACATATTATTGGTGATTATCTGTGTAAGTGTATATTTTCAAGAAAGAATTTTGAAACAGGTAATTAACATTGAGAATTAATAGGGTTTCATAAATTGTATGTGTGCCACTTGTAATTGTTATAAACCTTTTTTGATGTGTAATTATGTACAGAGACAAGAGGGCTATATTTTTTTTGATGCGTGAAAATGGTATGGTAACCCCGCTTGCGCTAACGGGATACGCTGCCGGAGCACCAGTGAAGTGATAGTTAATATTTCGGATTACCAGTGTCATTGTTAACAATATACTCTTTTAGATGACCGACTACTACGTTGTCCCCCAGTTATTCGAGGCGTATTCATCACGATGGGCTGACTGACCTGCTTTTACCTTCTCACTTATCATCCTTCACTGGTGCCCCGCCAGCGTATACTGTTAGCGCAGGCGGGGTTACCATTCGATTATCATCCATTAAAAAAAACTCGTCTCATGTATACACACCGGATTCTGAGACACTGGATTTCTTAGATTTACTCACTTAAATATGATGTATCTGTTTTATGCAAGTCTAAGTTCTCACAAAGTACTTGGGAATTTTTACTTTCGCATTGTATATTGTAATTTTTCATCGACGTACACTACCTATAGCTAAAATATTTCGTCTCTTTTTTTAGGGTCAATAAATATGAAGGTGTTTTATTTATTATCTATAGTATGCTTGGTAAGAGCAGGACCAGTGGACTTTGTGCATGTTAATAAAAATGAAGTGATGAACACTGCATGTAAGTATTTGCTATGTAATGTTACCTACAGTTTAGAAGGAAAGTATGTTTTGAAATGGATAATAATCTTAGAATAGAACGAGAAAGAGAGATAAAGACAGAGAGAAACAAACGTTATTAAAAGCACGACAGCATATACCAGTAAAATTGCTATATCATTTTTATTATTAAAAAATGTCCACTTTTAAAGGCCGTCATTTAATCAAGTTAAATTCGCTACTAGAGAATCTTTCTTTTCAATCAGTTCTTAGTTAGAGTAACAATATTATTTACAATCTTTCAGCACCACGATTTTTTGAAAATGTAATTGAGGAACTTTTGGAGTCGGTCAGGGAGATAATATTGAATGGTAACGAAGACATCCCAGTCCTGGATCCGTTTGTTATTGATCACTTGGATCTTGATGATGAGACTATCCCTCTTCCAGGGTGAGTTAAATTGAAATTCTGTTTACATCCGGTAAGGTCTGGGCAAGGCCCAGGATGTGTGCGGTACAATTTCTTCTATTACTCTCTTCTAGCAATAGAATATATGAAAGTTATTAGTTTGCCAAGAAATAGAGTTTAATTTTAATAATTTATATTAGAGGGTAACTTGTATAAAAGTATTTTATATTTGTCATACATATTATGTATGAGAGAGAAGAGAAAGAGATTATTAGTAATGTAGACTAGTTGACCCATTACTAGTGATATATACCTATCCTGTTTGGTCCTTCACTTTGCCGTGGTTCGTCGTGGAAACCACCATGACAAATTCTTGTAGAATTCGTCATGGTGTGCTAACTGATTTGACTTCATTCTCATGTATCATTAATTATCAGTGTTCCACTTTATAAACGGTAATTTAAAAAAAATGTATTGCGTAATGTACATAATGCTCATTCTCAGTGAAATTGATCTTAGCACAGAGATTTTGTATTGAAATCGTCTGGAATAGAATGCCTGCCTGAATGCCTACATGAAACATGAATGCTTGGAGCATTAATGTTTCATGTTCTACATGTAAATTTCCTAATTAAAAGGCCAGCAATACACCTGCTATTTCTCAGGTGTTGTGGGTGCTCATTGGTAGCGGTAGCCGCTATCAGGAAAGCCGCATGTTCGTTTGCATTGCGTGTTATAAAAAAAACAAGGGCATGATACCTTACGCTGTTACATCTATATTTCTGTTCATATCTATAGACAAAAGTTATCATTTTCTATTAGTTTGCCATTCTAAGTTACGTAAAAACTGGATAAAACTTAATTTCAGAGCACGAGTTACAATTAACGACGGAACTGTGAAGAACTTGGGAACATTCATTATTGACCATTTACGGACCACTACTGTAGTCTTAGTTACTGTCATAGAGCTGGAGGTCCATATACCCGTTATTGAAGTTACCGCTGGTAAATATAGCCTCTTTTACTACTAATTTAATGCAAATGTAACAGCATGGAGTTCTTCAAAGGGGAGTTTTGTCAGTAGCCACGCTTGGCAGGCGGGTTGGCAACCGCAGTTAGGCTGGTACTGCAGGTGTTCATAGGCTACGGTAACCGCTTATCACCAGATGGGCTGTATGCTGGTTTGCCACCTCAGTGGTTATATAAAAAAAAATGTAACCAACATTTGCTAAAAATAATCGCAGGAATATTGTTTAAATGAAATTTGTATCGAATGAAACTTTCAATCGATTATGGAATAATTGTTTGAAAGTTCGATTATTTGTATTTGCACTACTATTGGACATCAGCAAACTGTTCTTTTCTCATTTGTTTTGTCCTTAGTATATACATTTATACACACGCACACGCATGCACGTACGCACGCACGTACGCACGCACACACATATATATATACGTATATATATATATATACACATATATACATATATACATATATATATATATATATATATATAAAATATATACTAGCTAATAGATACTAACGTCACTCAATTGTTTTGCCTTCCCTAAACCCTTCCACTAACACTCGAACTTTACGGTATTGTATTAAAGTTCGATCGAATTATTACAAATCGTTTGTATGGAAGTACAGAAAAGTGTTGTTTTTAGACTTTTTTAGGCAATGTTTTACTTTTTCTCTCCGTAAGAACCATCAATAGTAATCAACACTTTAAGGAATATTCTAAAAATTTGTCAAATCGGTTCAGCTGTTCTCGAGATTTGCGCTTAGCTACACTTGAATCGATTCATTTTTATATTATAGAATATATATTTCCTGTTACTAGTGTAACTCTTTATCAATGAACGTTAGTCTGTTATATCTCCAGACATTAAGTTGTTATCTTATCCTTCTTTTAAGATTCAACGTTATTTAGAAAATAACCTTTGTAATGAACCTTGAATAAGGTAGATAGTCTATCATTTGCAGTGTGGTCCCAGCATAGAACAGGCCATCGCTTTCTTTCTCGTGGGGTTAGAGTTAGAGGCGACTAAGGCACTTTAATAGTCGAAGGATGGGCAACAGCATCCCTCTTAAAACATCACCAAAGCCTAATTGCGGTTGCTAACCCGCCTGCCAAGCGTAGCAACTACGGGCAAAACTCCCTTTATGGGCAAGGCCTATGTTCAGCAGTGGACAGTTATCGGCTGATATGGTATGGTAGTCTTTTATAATAAAGTTATATTAAATAATTGAAATTAATATAAAATTATTCTGCTGCTGCTGCACAGCTGTTGCTTTTTTGACATAAAAATTAAGTTTACAACAACAGTCAACTTTATAATCTGTATCATTCTTTGAAGAGAATAATAAAGAGTTTTCATTAATTCATTATTTATTAATTCATTATATTTTTGTTTTTTTAATAATTTTTATTTTTTTTTAATTACTTGTTCTTGATATTTATAGCACGTAGATGTTAATTCTTAGTATAATTCCATCTGTGAATGTTTTTTGTTTTTTGTTCCAGATGAATATGACTTATTTTTGCCTGTTATGGATCTTACCATCTTTGGAAAAGGAGATTTTAAGTAATTGCATTTTTTATATATATTAAAAAGGGGTCTACTATAAAGCTAGCGTTTGACCTTAATTTATATAGATAGAGCATCGAATCTCAGAAACGGATCAACTTTTTGTCAGCTAATTTTCAAATTAGCTGACTCGTTTTTAATAATGTTCTATATACTTACGCACATAATGTATCTTAATGTATTTATATTTAATTATTTAATAAATGAAATGTGTTTTTATGTATTAAAAAGGTACAGAATTTATAAGACAAAATAAATATAGAAGTTATAAAGAAAACACTAATAACTATTTATCACGCAAAATTGTATGAAAAAGTTGACCAGACTCGCTTTTCTCGAAGAATTTGTATAAAAACTATTTATATAATCTAAGCGTTTGACCTAAATTTTTTATCATAATGTCGAATTGTAGTTACACTGAGCAAATCGACGTTCTGTGCTTATTTTTTTGAGTGTAATCGTTGTAAGAGCATTTCAAGTTTTAGAATTCAGTCCACAAAGAAAGTACACTCTCAATTTTTTCTTTGATGAATAGATTCCTGGACAATTTTGTATATTGTTCTCATATTTCTTAGTCTTAATTAACCATACTTGGTTTTATGTTTTACCTTTTATTCTATTCTAGTCTTTATACTGTGCTCTTAATCTAATTCTAACCTAAAACAAGGAGCGTGTAGGTTACGGCGTCTGCCGTTAATAGGCCGGTTTTATCGCTCGGCTTGTTGTACTAAATAAACGAATTTACATTGTAACCACGGAGAATGTAATCATTACATTATTTTAAAGGTAACACTGTACATATATTGACGAATCTGGGAATGAATCTGTGCAACCATCTAGAAGCAAAATAAAATAATTGAAAGTGTTGTGTACCTATCATTACAATTATTAAAATACATTTATAGGTTACGTTTATTTAGAAGTCAATTTATTTTTCTATTTTTTGGTTTGATACTTTTTGAAACTTAACATTCTTTGGTATGTACGTAGTATTTAGGTTGGGGAAAAACATAGATTATTTTTTATTGCGGTTAATCATCAATTCCTGGCGTTACAATGAAGTCACAAATAAAAACTAGTAAAATATCGATATGTAAATTTTTCTGTTCAATGAATTGGTTGCATAGATTTTATGGAAATGTTATTTTGTTCGAACTAACACCGGGCTGTAAACTTAGAACAATAATATATTTGAAATAGGAGTGTCGCACTGCAAAAAAAAAAAACAATCGTTCGAACTACCGAGTTTTTTAAAAGCGTGCTTTTAAATTTAATTGCGTATGACTATCGATAAACAGTACCCACTTATTTAATGTTATTAAATTGTTTTTCAGTATTCAGTTAGTGGAGCCGAGAGTAGATATCAACCTTAGATACGCAGTATTATCGGGCGTAAGTGCCGATGTCAAAGTCAGTCTTGGCTCGTTCGAGGTAGGTCCTACTTTTGGTAAGCACACCAATTATTTTTATTTTTCTCTTTATTAAAACCTTTCTCAAACCTTATAAACATTTGAATAAAAATAAATTATCCGCATGTATATTTATTTATATAACAAAATAGTTCCCAATATAAAATTAAAAAATCGAGCCAATTGGGAAATGTTTAATCCAATTAATTACAATATTGAAAAAAAGGCACATTTTGTTATGGTTTAAAATAATATATGTCAAAATTATGTCAGCTTAATGAATTAAGTTGATTAAATTTGACACATTTTTGATACACGACTTTGTATAATCTAAAATCTAGCAGTTGTTAAGTTTTACACTTAGCAACATATTTAGTGATTAATTTTTATTTATATAAACTTATTTATTTCAGCCTCAAATTAATGGATTATTCTACGATCAGGCGGCGAGTGATTTTGTAAATTTAGTCCTGAAGTTGCTTGTTGAGGATCTTTTGGTAGAATATGAGGTATGTTAATATAAATCATTAACGTCATCGTCATATATACATACATATATATCTGTCACGCCTGTCTCCCATCATCATATCAGGCGTTAACTGTCCACTGCTGAACATAGGCCTCCCCTGTAAGGGGAGTTTTGTCAGTAGTTGTCATGCTCGCTAGAGGGAGACTTTGTACAAAAGTCGATTGCTTGGGTACCTCTGTCCTATTCATGTTTTAACCGTGAAGCAGTTGTGTTTGCATAGCTGCGTTTCGCTTTGAAGGGTGGGATATGGCGTGAATTTACTGGGTACAGAGGAATAACACCTGAGTCCTCAGAAATGGGAACGCATGGGGGGTATCATGGGCGAAACTCTGTTATGTCCATGGTACTGCTCATGTCTATAGGCAACGGTTACTACTTTCCATCAGGTGGGCCGTCAGCTTGTTTGCCATTCAAAGTTGAATAAAAAAAAAGAATGGGTACTAAACACTAAAACCTATAGTTTTTTGTACTTGGTACATTTATTTGCTTTATCTCAGACTACACGGCACGGTAAAATAGGTTCAATGGTATTTATATATTTTTTACAGGATGACATCAACACTTTTTTGAGTGACTTAGTGGGTGAAATTCTTGCTGATGTATTACCAGGGCTCATACCGTATCGAGGTATTATTAACAATCTTGGTTTGAACACTTACGCAGTAAATTACGAGAAATAAAACTGTTTTATTGTTAAATGAATATTGTAACTTTAATTTTCAGAGTATATAATATTGTTATATAAGTTACATGTTTTGTAGTGAGCCAGTCGTATGTAAATATAAAATGTCATTAAAGTTTGTTTTCAATAATCCTATTATTTTTTGGGAAATGTTTTTTTTTAAGGTTTTTGGCCAGTAAAAAATAATGGAATTTAAACAGGACGTTTACTGGGCCAACTAATTTACACAAGTAAAATTAATATAATAAAATCTTAATTGTCCAATAAAATATCTATTAATGATGTCTATAATACAGTGCAATATTAATTTCTATTCAATTATTAAAGGATCAGACTAAAATGCTTTACTACTAGTGACATCTGGCAGAAATGTATAAAAACTTGAAGTTATATTTTGTTTAAGTAAATTCCTTGGAAGGTCGTAATGAATAGACATTTGTATAGATAGCATTGTTTGCTTGTATTTCTTATGAAATTAAAATAAAAGTATTTATTGCTTATTTACCACTACTGTGAAGGTGTCGCCCTCTGTCGTGGTTTGTTGAATCACGGCTTCATGTGGTCTCCGATGCACGAAACAAATGATATGCACATATAAATATAAAATAAATACTTTTTAGTTCTCTAATTATTTATAATGGGTAAAAATGGAATGGCAACCCCGCCTGCGCTATCGGTATACATTGGTAGGCACCAATGAGAGATGATAGGTAAGGATGAAAGCAGGTCAGTTGACTCATCATGACTAACTCCACAAGAATTAACTACGATGATTTCCAGGCGGAACCGTATAGAGGTTGACCTGATGGGATATATTGAGGCAATAAGATTGTTCGATCTCCATATTAACACTCCCTTTTCCTCCAGTTCATTAATTAGGATATTCATATCTTAATTAGGAAATGAGGTATTTAGAGGATATTTTTTTATTGGATGATAATGGAATGGTCCTGCCCTGCCTGCACGGTATACGCTAGTGGGGCACCAGTGAGAGATGATAGATGTGGATGAAAAGGTAGGTCAGTTAGCCCATCGTGATGAATACACCTGGAGTTCAGCACGATGGTTTTCATGGAGGATCACGTGGAGGTGACTTGACAGGGTATATTGCTATTAATGAGATTGGTAGTCCCTTACGTACTTACAATCCTTTTTTCGCACATTGAGAAATTAGGATATTTATATCCTAATTAGAGGACTACTTAGAGACTTTAGGATTTAGTATATGCTTCGTGCTTAGGCATGGTAATAATTGGTATTGCTCCGATATCTATATATTGAGTTACTCTGGAAATAATAAATTGCGGAATTAAAAGGTCATCATCCATTTCGATATCGTCTTTATCCATTGATTTCGGTCGAGTGCTATATATATATATATATATATATATATATATATATATATATATATATATATATATATATATATATATATATATATAAACTAACCGTAACTATATAAAAACTACCGACTAGACTAAACTGTCTTTAAAAAAAAGCGTTCACGCTCACTTTTTATCTTTATCCGAGCAGTAAGTGCTTTATATTATTCCCAAATTCGTGTATAATATAGTATATACCGCCATGTATACATATTTGTAATAATGAATAAATAAATAATACATAATATATAGATATTGCTGTATAGTATCCCTCTCTATTAGACATATATGAAAAATTGGAGATGTATTTTAGGTTATGACCTGAATGCACACACGAGTCCTTTAATAGACAATGACATTCATTCTTGAACCGTACTTCAGACGTATAATGTAAGTTCATACGTTTATTGAACTTATGAAATATACGATATGAAAGTTATATCATTAGAATTTTATGTTACTCCTACAGGTATAAAGTTTAGGTAGATACATTGGGAAACCATAAAATTGCCAGATATGTACTCATCTTTCATTACATAGTTTAGAGAGGACTAAAAAAATTATGTTATAAAAATTTGCACCAGTATTTGCAACCGACATTAAAAAAAAAAGGAATTTATCAATTTGACTGTTGTTTTTTTATTATGTTTTTATTGAAACATTATTATTACGATGATTAGATATTAGTTTAATCACTTCTTTCCCTAAATAATGTACTTGTACTAGAAATATTCAATAGGACACGGAATCCTAAACTCCTATGGTGTAGAATCCCAAAAGTTGTTGCATTGTCAACTTGACCTACGTACAAAAACTTCTTCCGCGCGTGAGGCAATCGGGTCTGAATTGAAACATACTTCCTATTGTTACAGGCATTCCTTGTATGCGTAAAGAATGCCTGTCACGCGATAAATGTCACCTTTAAACCAACAAAACCGTTTTAATGGCGAATACCTCGGAAATTCAAAGTCGTTATTCCAGGAATCCGGCTCAGAGCCGTAAAATGTTTTGTTTCGGCGTCATTGTCTCTCAGACACACGATAAACTTTTTTATGGTCATAATTTATTCACCGCCTGCAGCTAAAATAGTTTTTAAGGCTGTTATAAAGGTTTGAATGTATTTGAATAGTATCTGGAACTATTACATTTCCTTCAAGTAATATAGTATAATAAAATAGTAACGAATTCAAAATTAAACGATAACTATTTGATCCTGTTAGATATTGGAGCCAATTGGTTAATAGATCTCCACTACATTAGTCTATAAGAGATAAAATTTTTGGCCTTTCTTTTATTATTAGGTACTGCAAATATAATCATGATTATATCAGCCGTTGACCGTCCACTGCGGAACATAAGCCTTGGGTGAGTTTTCTCAGTAGTTGCCACGTAGGCAGGTTGGTACGTCTTTAAAGAGACGTTGCTGCTCATCCCTCGACCATTAAATTTTTTTAGTCGCTTCTTACGTCATCGGGAAAGGAAGAGGTAGCCCATTTTATGCCGGGATTACACGGTTACCCATATAGTTTTTTCTATCCTGGCTAGAAATTAAAAGCTTTCTGACTTTAATAATAATAGTTTTCATTAATTTTCATTATCCTACAACATACTACACACGACTACTGAACCACAAATTCATACGCACATTGGCAGATATTTATTTTGCATTATGAATAGGATATTTTGACAGGACCTAAGGATCCGTTTGAGTAACATATGAATTTATTTAGGATAATATATCTTAAGTGCAATAAAAGAATACTAAAAATAATATCGTTTAATAAACCATTTTACTAGCGTGATAATGGTATACTATAATATGTTATTTTTATGAGAACTGGCTCATTCAAGAGCAATGGAAGGTTGTTCATGGTGGGAAAATTGGGATTATTACTAATGGGGACTAATAGGACATCAGATTGACCTCTACGTGGTTTGCATGAAATTATCCTTGTTAATTTCTGGTGTTAGATATTAATTACTTTCTTTTACTCGTCACGATGCAAAAGGGCGAGGACTGAGCAGCAGTATCTCTCTTAAAACATACAGTCTAACTGTGGTTGCCAATCCGCCTGCTGAAAATGGTAACTAGTGGCAAAACCCCTCAAAGGGGAGGCTTATGTTCAGCAATGGACAGTTAAAGGCCGATATGACGACGACGATGATTTATCACGATGCAACTGCCCAAACATTCATTTTTTAATGAATGAAAATGATATCTTACTTCTACGCATAACCACGCTTTAGAGTCAACTTTCAACAGCAGTATTTCCGAACTATCGGTACGACATCGTAACTGACAAGAAAAGAGCATATTACTTTTTAAAAGGCCAGCAGCACTGCTGCATTTCCTCTGGTGTTGTGGGTGCTGATGGTCGGTGATAGTCATTTACCATCAAGTGAGTCGCATGCTTGTTTGTCCTCTGTATTATATCAAAAATAATGATAATCCAACCCGAGTTGTTGATGTCAAATGACGGGTTTCAGTTCAGGATGATAGGTGAGGATGAAGCCGGGCCAGTTGGTATGTAGTATGGAAACCAATTCGATATATATATATATATATATATATATATATATATATATATATATATATATATATATATATATATATTGGATTCCTATGGACATTTATGGCGGAAAAAACGTCTTCACCTATTTCGATATCGTCCATACCGGTCGGATATCTATTTTCGCATATGTTAAAAGTCTGTTATTCAATATAGTTTTGGATAACAGACTTTTAACATATTCATTATTGGACCAATATATACATAGATATTGTAACTAAAATATTTATTTATTTATTTATTACATCCACTGGGTGAGCCTTACAATCTTCCAATACGCTCACCCAGGAAAGCATGAGTACAATAACATATAAAAAGGAATATTACATAAAAATAACAAAAATAATATAAAAAGATTTAACTCGAACAAAAAACGTCTGAACACAAATACTCTGTGGTCACTCGACGAAACTCCAGTAAGTTGGAGGCAAATACATCCAATTGCGGATACTCCTAGCCATTAGTACTTATTACTAACAACCTGTAACTTGTTAGAACTGCAAATCAGGACTTCTACCTACGAAACCTGTAGAAGAATTCAACATAAATATAAAATTTTAATGTCCTCTAAACAGTTTTATGGTAAAATAAGGCTTCAGTTCTTTTTTACAAGTTCGAAGCTAAATAATTCGTCCCAGTGGCATCATTTATTATAACACGAGTGGTTCCGTCCATTGGGGGTAATAACTTGGAGACCTAGGCTCATATTAAAGTTTTAATGTTAAAGGGGAATGATAAAGTTTCTCCTTCTTGCAAATTTTACCACCATTGAGAATTGGGATCAAGCTGTCACCACGATTGATGGATAACAGTTGACTTGGTATGGATTTTACAGAATATACTGTATGTATGTAAAATCACAGAAATGACAAATGCCATCCATTTTTCATTTCTGTGAGCTTGTTCTAACCCAGGGGGTAAACGAGTATGCGGCTTACCTGATGATAAGTAACTGTAGGATTGACAGTAGGGTTCATCTTTTAAATAAATTTAATCAATAATTAAAAAAAAACAATAGTATTTCACAATAAAACAAATAAACTTTTAAATTGTCCAAGTTAACAAAACACTCTCGTCGCTGGCCCGTGCGTGGTATGCGTGCGCAGCCAACAATCATAAAGCGTCTGCGCGACCTGCGCGCGCATCTTGCGAGTGAGTCCCGTCACCAAGCGTCATGA